AAAGTAACGTTTTAAAATAACGATCATAATTTAGAAATATTCTTGTCAATGAACACCTGTTTAATTCCCCACACCGTGTCAGTTGTGGTAGCTACCTGATTATATCCACCGCGCTGGTCAGTATGAGTTGAAGGGTAGGGCCCAGGATTGGTTCAGAAGTCACTCGCCACTGTTGTTAGCCCAGCCCGGGAATGGAACTCAAGTTGCCAGTTTCATAGCGTGGCGCAGCCACTATTGTGCCACCGCTCCACTCCCCATATCAATATTATGAGATGTTAATCTCACTTTTGTGGGAATATCCAGTGGTCTGCTAGCGGATGATTTAAACATTATTTCCCATTAATCATTGTGGGTGATCGTCAAAGTTGAGAAATTTGGGTCGTGACAGAATCACACAATGGTCTACTGTTGTGAATGATGATATATGGTCTCCAACATTCCACTTTAGAGTTCGCAAATTTACAGAAAATTCTGTCATGCGCCACATCATTAGCAGGAGCTGATGGGATTCAATCCATCAAGCTCATGGGTAAACAGTCTAAAATACATGTCTCACCTTGCCATACTTTGCAATCATTTAAATAGATCGTTTCAACGATGTACATATGAACAGCTTGTCATAGTCTGTGTTTTAATTAAAGGAGAATATCTACTGAAATGATCCTTAAAAATACAACATTAAACCTTTTTTATCTGCCCAAGGAGCTGAGCTGCAAAAACACAGCGGTGAAGCCTTGTGAGCCTAAATGTCAGATTGCCAGCGATTGCATTTTAAGAGGTTTGCAGCTTTCTAAGTGCTGAACATTTTCTCAGAATCCACAGTCTCGGGCACTGCCACTTACCACGCGAGATGGCAGGATTCAGTCAGTACCAATTAACGGCCACTGACAAGAGTAAACTGGAATCATGAAAGACTTCCTGCAATGTCGGGGAGAAATAAAAAGTATCATCGCAAGTGACCCGAATACAATGATGCCATAGGTTGGTTGGCACCATATCACAGTTATATTTGAAGACTTCATTGATACACCTGCACTCCGTTTTATCCAATAAATGTATATTATTGTATCATCTGGCTGGGTGGCAGTTTGCCATCAAGGGAGAGTGGCAAGTTTTAATTTGGGTTTGGGTCGACACATTCTAGCATTCTGTTAGGGTGATGACATTAGTACCCCTTTGTGGAAATTCACGAGTGGTTTTATGGATAAACTCACCTTTGTCATAGGAATGTGGAATTCTCATCACTGGATCAAGAGAGTAAATTAATTAATACACGGGCATACACTTATTTGATGAAGGAGACACGCTGACTTTTGTTTTATCCCCATAATTTATTAAAATTGTGCCATCGGTGTGACGTCATGAAATGATGAATCCATTTGGAAATCACGCAGAGCAGAGGGGCACATGTGCCAGCGAATGGTCGCAGAAAATATTTTTTAAAGAGTGAACTTGAAAAAAAGACAAGTCACCTTAAAAAATAGCTTACACAGTATGGGTGACACTTTCCCATACACCCATGTATGATATTGTTTGTGTCACAACACTCAATCTAATAATAACTCAGAGCTGGGATCTAGCCCAGTTCAATTGAAAAACAATACTCGATATGATGGGGTGTTTTGTGCAGTCATTGATGGCCTGGCTACGACCATCATCTCGTCAACACTGGAGGACCTGGTTTAACCACAGAAGGGTGGCCGAATTCTGTTTTAGGATCTCAGTGGTTGGTGCTGGTGACTTTTGAGCCACTTTGTGACCTCTCTTTGAATTGCATTGTTATGCTAATGAGTTTATGGCTGAGTGTTAAAAATACCCCAGCTGAATGCATTAACAACTATCAAAGTCACATTTGTTCTGGGAAGCAAGGTACACTTACATTTTCTGAATATTTGAGCCATTCTTGAATGAGTTTAAATACATTTATTGGATTTGGTAAATTTATTAGTGCGTATTATTTATTTATATATTTCCCAGGTAAGGCGCACTGAGCTATACCGCTCTTGTTCAGAAGCAATTTGGCCACCAATTATATATTTACGAAGTGGCTTATCTTGTGGAAATGTATCGCAGACAAATACTCTAAACGCATGTCAATTCTAAATGTGGGGGATAAAAGCGGAGAAATTCTACACAACCACGGGGAGAACATGCACACTCCAAAGATACAGCTGGCGTCAGGGTCAGGATCGAACCCACGTCTCCTACATACAAGGCGAGGTAGTTAACAAAGACCTACTTGGTTTAAAAATAACCTATCGCTACTATCATTGGAACATGCGGCTCTTCTGTTGAAAATAATCAGAAGCTGGCTTTTATGCAACACACGAATCAGGGTACAGAATTTGTAAACTTTGTTTTATTATACCTAACTTAGTTACAATTTGTTAAAGCTGGTTGTCAGAGCCACGGGTGATTCGTAATTCAAGTTATACCTTCCTTCAACCTACCCAGTTAAGGGCAGTTGTTATTTTTGTACATTTTTAAGGGCAGTTGTTATTTTTGTACATTTTAATTGGAGATTATCTCTCAGGATTTGGGTTATGACACGAGCATGCCATTGCCAATTCTTATGAAATATATTTGGTGGGTGTGACAATGGACACCTGTAATCCAGCACTTTGTTTTAGGCAGATTTTTGTTACTGGATGGCACAAACTTCGTAATGGGGGCGTGAGATAACCCACCTGATAGGACGATTATGAGGTGGTGGTTCGTGAAGACATGTTCAGTGGTTGAAGGGTCAATATATTGGCATATGGTGGCAGATGGTTAAATATCACTTCTTATGTCATCACTTTATTCAAACACACGCTTGTGGGTTTAATTTTGCGGGGAAACGACCGTGGGGAAATAGACAACGTGCGCACATGGAATGATTTCAAGCACAATCTGCTCACGATGAATGTCAAACCATTGCGAAATCCCGCCAGTGCCCGTTTTAACTGGGGCCAATGTTAACTTTCAGTCATTTTGTGCCATCTAGTGGCACAATGCAGCAATGTAGTACATTGAAGAAACACCCAATGTCCAAAACCTCCCTCTGACAGTATTGCTGTACGTTTCTGGTTTAGGGTTACAGTATCGACGGCTGCGTTGAGTTTTTTTTTAATTAGTTGTGCTTGTGCATGACTGCCAACACATTACCTGGAAACAATGCGTAATTTTATACTAAAGTAGGAAGGTACTGTCGCCGGGTGTATGATTAACAGAAAGTGGAGTACTGTACTTCACTTATAGTGTGTATAAATCAATATTTATCTTGGCACAGTGGTTTAGTGGATCGCACAGTGAAGCCAGCGATCTGAATTCGATTCCCGGCCAAGACTAACATCAGATGTGAGCGATATCTGAACCGGTCTTGGCCCACCCACCGTCACATTTACCCAATATGCACCTCTAACGATCGTGGTGAAGTCATTCCAAAAACATAACTCGTGACAGGCACGGCATGGGGGAGTTCTTCATTCAGCTGAACTTTGACAAAGGACTTTACATTGTTTGGGTTTTTTACAAAATATATAATTTTATCTCATTTTCAACCGGATTAAAATAATCCACGTGATTTGGTGTTGTTGCAGGTTGGCAGTACTGTCGGGCACAACTTTTTGGTTCTTTCGGTAAAGTCACGTAGAAAGAAAATAAATTAAATAATCGAGTACGGAGACAGACAGACACACAAGCAGAGAGAGACAACACAGAGACACACAATGCCTGTGTCGAGGCCTTGAATAGAGAGAGGGGGGGTGATGCTTGTATTGCAATCGAAACGTCGTACTCGATTATTTATTTTCTTTCTACGTGACTTTACCGAAAGAACCAAAGAATAATTCCTGCAGTCACGAAAGCTTCAAATCAAGTTAGAAATTAACTGTTCTATTTTTTTCACACATTCGTCAATGAAACCCCGTGGCCCGAAACGGAAGAATATAACTTGCGACATTTCCGAACCACATTCATAGCATAAAGAGGAGATGTCGGAGAGATTCATTGGATAAGTAAGTATTGGACGTTACCTGGGTAACATGTGCCATTAAAAACAACAAACGCATTACCTAGGTAATTATTGACATTGAACAAATAAATTAATAATCACCCCCTATTATTGTAAAGTATTGGTCTTAAACTCTTATCCACTCTCGCTCGTTCTCTGGCCTGTGTGCTATGAAGGAGGACCGTTGCTCGACGCGTCGTCTGCTGTACGCATTTGTATCCCCTATTAAGGCCACAGTGTTGTTGACGGACGTGTAGAGTTGTTATTTCGTTGTCCGTGAGTGGTTGTGCGCCACTGCCAAACGCAGCGTCGCGAAATAATTTGGCACCGGCAAACTTTTGGACCGGTGACACACCACGGGATGGGAGGGGGAGGAGAGTCATGGACGCAACGAATGTGGGTACATGGGAAGGAACGCGAAATGGAAGCGAGAAGATCATGAATGGGAAAGAAGAGGAAAAATGAAAGGGAACGGGACCAACGGGTGAGGAAGGGTGAGGATAATGATTAGGATGAAGAGGAACCCTCGGACAGAGAGGGAACGACTCAAGATGAGCAGCAGCGGGAAGGAAGGAAGCGCCGGGCAGATAGCGGAGAACAGCGGTAAAAGGAATGACCAGGGCCAAGATGTCGCGGATGATGGGGAGGGAGGGGGATAATAAGATGAAGAAAGCCGTCAAGAAGCAAACGTGGGTCGCACAGAGGAGCAGCGTCTGTTCTCATAGGGGGCGGGGAAAGGGGGAGGGATTTAGAGTGGGGGGTGGAGCCACACAGACGTCACAGAAGGCGGAGCTGATTTAGATGCGATATTTAATTAAAAAAACAATTATTGATTTGAAGCTTTCGTGACTGCAAGAATTCATACACTTTGGTTTTATTCGGTTATGTCATGTGTTGCCTTCGAAACGTCGTGTTTTATTTTTTTCTTTTATTTAATTTTAATTTGTTTTTTTACCTACGTGACTTAACCGAATAAAAAACCACTCAACACATTCGTCAACACGGGGGCCTGAAAGTAAATATGTATTAGGCGACGTTTCGGGCGATCGCCCTTCCTCATAGCGCGTAAACATTGTTATAGACACTACAGTAAATGTGGAGTTACGGCTACTGTACAGACATGGATCCCGCGGGGTTTTAGTTAACGAACGCACCCTGTGGGTGACGTCACGGCCAGGCGACCAATGGGCGCGGCCCTTAGTAGCAGTGGGATCGCGCGGGAGTTTGTGTGTAGAGGCGAGGCCTGGGAAGGCCTCCGACCAACAACAACCATCACCACCACCACGTTGAACTCCATAGAACTGCCTTTCATATGAAGCCTTCAGTTACACAGGTACTCACATTCACCACCACCACACTGAAGCCTTTAGTTACACAGGTACTCACATTCACCACCACCACACTGAAGCCTTCACTTACACAGGTACTCACATTCACCACCACCACACTGAAGCCTTCACTTACACAGGTACTCACATTCACCACCACCACACTGAACCCCACAGCCACACTGAAGCCTTCAGTTACACAGGTACTCAGACGTTCACCACCACACTGAAGCCTTCAGTTACACAGGTACTCACGTTCACCACCACCACACTGAAGCCTTCAGTTACACAGGTACTCAGACGTTCACCACCACCACCATACCGAAGCCCTTACCCACACGCTCACAACAGTCACCACCAACCACATTGAACCCCACGGCCACACGGGTACTCAAACGTTTCAGTGTCCTTTACTAGGTATAGCTCTGTGAGCCATGCGGCTCTTGAGTCGGGTGCAACCGCAACAAAACAAAAACATGAACAAAGAAACATCTTAAAGTGACTACGCGTAACAGAAAAATCCAGGAAAAAACAGCAAAGCCTTCCAGGAAAAAAACACCGTATATCAATGCTGTGTGCAAAAAATTCCCAGTGGGATGCAAGCCAAACAATAATAACCATAAGACAATTTAGATTAAAGTTATCAGGCTAACTCTGCACTTCAACAAACAAGCATGGCTTAACCATACGTTTTCGAAATCACCAAAATGAAGCTATACAAACAACGTAACAGTGATCATAGGAACTGTGATTCAAATTTAACAATAAACGATATACATAATATGTACTACCAAACTTTGCTTCCACAGCTGGCAGCATGAGTCACTCCATAACAGCGTTGGTGTACGGTGCTTTTTCTGTAATATTTTGCTGTTTTTTTCCCCTGGATTTTCTGTTTGCACAGTGACATAGTAACTTTTAGGTTGTTTTCTTGTTCATGTTTGTGTTTGTTGCGGTTGCATCCGATGATTCAAGAGCCGAATGGCTCACAGGGCTATGCCTAATAAATGAAACTGAAACTGAGTATCAGCAATCAACACCACCACCAGCACCCACACTGAACCCCACAGCCACACGTTCACAACAACAGCTCAACAGTGTTAATAATGAGCGTACGACTTAGGCACTTTTACTTCACAGGCGCCTTGACACAAGGTAAGCTAATGGCACTACGCTGAGCTACAGTACCGAACGTCTGGCCGTATCGTGCAAGTGTCTCACAAGACTGCAAAAAAGGAGACTCGCGCGTAAAACGCATTGCTTGTTTGAGTGATACAGTATCGTTATTTTAACACGTTACTGACAACAACAAAAACCGAGACTTTAAATATCTCGGGATAGACGTTACACATTTGCCAGGGCAGCATAAGAGCTTCGCAGCTCATCGGAATGTCTCCAGTCTAAAAGATTCAGATGCCGATAACGACGCGATTTGCTTGTCGCTTTAAAGGTCTCTTTTTTTCATTGCTGGTGCTGTGCGCAATGCAACAACGTCGCCGTAGTGTGAGGGCACGAGTTACAAGTCTCAGCCGAGATGCGGAATGTGTATCCCTTTTCAAGTGAACACTTCGCCTCTGTGTTTAATAATTGTGTTGTACAGCCCTTTGTCAAGCCCCCCTGCTGGACGATGGAGGTTGTTTGACCATACTTCGCCACGTTGGTCATTGCGGATTTGGTGAGGTGAGCGGGTCCAGCGTCAGTTTCAGATCACTTAACCACAAATGTTAGCCGTGGCCAGCAGTTGAAACTCTCAGAACTGCCGTTCATATGCGCTAATGGGATATATAATTTAGCGATCCACGCAAAATCGTCCTGAGCTGCTTAGTGCTGATTTGAGATCTGAGTGGGCAGGTTGATGTGATGATTATGAAAGCCCACACAGTCTATGGAGTGTCTTCATTTGTATCTTCACTGTCATCTCCTCTGCATATCTCGCCCTCCAGAATTTTATCCGTCACGCTGTCACTTCTGAAAGTCAAAAACACCCCCCCATCAACTGCAGACTTTCACCCACTGTGTGGGCCCTGAACCGCTGGTGGAAACTGTACATGACCCACTGCGTTGCATAGTACAGGGCTCTTAATTATAATTGCTATTGTTTATATTGTGCATTGACAAAATTGGTTGATGCTTACTACTTTGTTTGCTGTCGACCCCTGGTGTGGAACTCTCTAATCCCTTTGCACATCCGCAACATTAAATTCACTCTGACTTTCAAGAAACAGCGAAAGGCTCACCGTCTGTTTGGTCAGGCCTTGGGAGCAGCCCTTAGCTTGGCTCGGCGCCTTTTGAGTTGTTAACTTGTCTGCAAAATCTGGCGCGTTATAGCATGGTGATTTTTTGTTGTTGATGGTGTGGTGGTGGTGAAACGTGGCGCTGCAGTGATGGGTGTTCCTAATGCTTTGTATGAATGTGCGCACTCAGGATGAACCCCCTGCCTCAGAATAATCTCGAGGAGCAACTGCGGCTGCATCAGAACAAGCTATCGCGTTCCCGCAATGCCACTCTCACGCCTCCCTCAGCCCAGCCCAAGTGAGAATCGCGCACACATCTATCTGTACGCGCACCGTTGTGCGGACAAGTGCAGGTAAACACGTACGCCTGGTTTACAGGAGGACGTGGGTTCGATCCCAACTTTGACACCTGTATATTTGGAATTTGCATGTCTTTCTTCCCCCCTGTGGTTGCGTGGATTTTTCTCCGGGTCCTCCGGTTTTTCCCTGCACATTTAGGATCAACATCACGCTTTTTAGAGTATTTGATATCAGTTTCCACATGATAAGCCACTTCATTGGGCTGTCACTTGTGGCCAGGTCGCTTCTGAAAAAGTTCTATATAGCTTAGTGGGCCTGACCTGGTAAAATAAAAGTTTACAGTTAGTCTCCAACTCTTAATATCCGCTCTATCGCTCCGATTTCTCTATGTTCTGTAAAGAAGAGCCATTTCTCAAAACGTCGCCTATTGTATATATATTTTAAACACACTAACTTGTGGTTATATTTATCTGTATATTCGTATTGTAGAATGTGAGTAAATACCAGAAGAGTGGAAAATGTAGCTTGCCTTAATCGGCTGTTTAGCTCAAACAATATGTTGCGAAGATTTATAATTATACATGCAAGAACTGCAACTTGTTTGAAAAAATTGGCCCCACAGCGTGTTGGCTCTTGTCTGTAGCTTCCAATCATATGCTTAGTAAATTCACTGCAACATAATTTTACGTTGTGTGTGGGCGTTTGTGTGTCACAGGGCTGGATTCACATTTAAAAAGACAGGATCCTGCCCAACAATTCCAGAACTGTCCAGTGCCCTTCCAAAGAGAACATTTGCTCCCTCCAGTGGCGTTCTCATTGCAAACAAATTGCCTGGCAGTCCGACAAAGAAACCGCCTGTCGGAACCAACAGGGGTCCACAAAAACTCCTGCAGAACTCGCAGCAGAGCCGCATTAGCACCTTCCTGCAGAGGCCAGATCCGAAGTCTTCTCCGTCCGCTCAGCAGACCGCAACGACCTTGGCAACAGCGTCGATTGCAACAACCTCTCGGGTGCCTACCAGCGACAAGCTCCCGTCGACCGGGACTCGCTCGCCGGATCAGCCCGCGGTCACGTTGCCGGCGCCGGTTCCGGCGCGTCAAGTGGCATGGGTGACGCCCATGGGTGACCGTACATGCCCGATTAGCGCGCAGAAGATTGAGAGTGCGGTCGACGATGTTACGGCAAACGCACGAACAGATCTTGATGATGCAAACCCAGACTCGGACCTTGATGACTTCGACGTGGGATCAGCCCACCAACAACGGAAAGCTCGCAACTGCTCTACCCTGCCTGCAGTCGAACCATCTAATGGCGGAGGTCTCGTTCAAGAGAACGCTCCAGCAACAGCTCTTTGCCTCTCAGGCACTTCCAACAGCATCATTACTGTTTCGGACGTAGCCGTTGATGACGGGTGTATTAACGACAGTGATGATGACATCGTCATAAGAAGAAAGCGTGGGAGGATCTTCATTGATGACGATGATGAGGATGATGATGACTGTGGCGATGCTACGGTGTTAGTTCCTGAGCAACCTCTACTTCCTGGGATGGATTTGCAGACCGGCCAGACGTCTCCAAGCTTTAATGGTACACAAGGGACTGCATAAAAAATATATACTGATTAAGTGGTAAATATGTACATGTGATACATTTGCAATCAATTCGTTGTATAAAGTAATTAACTTGGTGCAATGAAAGTGTGATCCATCATCTCTTGGTAGAGCGGCCTAACCTTTATTACATATTCGCATGTAATAAAATGGTATAAATAGTATTTTTTTTATGTTTGTATTTTTTAAAATGTGTAATTACATTGCTACGCAATGGCTCATTCTTTGATGTTGGAGCCTGGAATTTTATCCTCTGGTATTTTAAGCGAAAAGCTCATTTAATACAATGACGAAGTCTGTTTGTAATGCAGACAGTCCAAATCAACCACCCACACAGTTTGGTCAAGATTCCTGGACATTATGGTGTGGCTTGCTCAAGTCATTTACCAGTACTACGGAATGACTGTAGCTCATATAATGGGAAATGTGAGTTACATGTGCCGGGGAGGTTTGGCCCCATACATTTCATTGCTTAATAATGTGGGTTCCCTGTGGACATTTACAGGAACTCCGTGTGAAGAGATGAGATACGACCCGGGTGTTGTCGAACTCAATGAACGTAAGTTTTTGTCGCGCTTTTGTATGGTAAATGACGGAATGCGTGGCACCATGCACTCAGTGCCTGCATGGCCGTAAACACGTCGCGACCGATTACTTGAAAGAAACAATGAAACGTATGACATGTTATAAATCCTAACCCCATTCTACATAGGTTTGCAATATGTACACGTGCTTGGTAACATGCAGATATTTTGCATCATCCATAATTCTAGTTAATTTGGCCACCCATCCCCCCACATTATCCCGGATAATCGAAAGTTTGCCGTACAACCAACCGTAACTGCAGTCGTAAACCACCGTCTCATCATCACCGCCACGGCGTGTCCTTCGAGCCCTGAGCATCACCCTTGAACCCACAGTTGACTTCGAGGACGACTCATTTGAGGACGAGTATGTGCCGCCATCTCCGTCGCCCCCACCAATCGTCTCTGTGAGCAGCCTGGGCCACACCGAAACTCTGCCCTCCAGTATACCCACAGAGCGAGGTAATGGGCATGTTGCCGTCTGCCTCGGAATAGTGGCATACACGTGGCATGCAAATCCTAAGTATGTAAGTTATAATGAAACCCCATGACAAAATCACCCGGAATGTACCTGATCTCATCAGATGCCAAGCTGGAAGCTCTGCAGGGTTGAGTCTATAGCAGGTGTTATAGGCTGCGGGGCTATATGGAGGGTAATATTTTGTATAGTGCCCCACAAAGTCCCCTTCACACATGACAGAAAATACAGCCAAAGCTTTTTGAAGATGTGCTTGCATGTGAATTGATAATAACAACAATTAACTTATTTATCCAGGGTAGCCACATCGACTCCTGCTTTGGATATTTATTTTAAGATGTTTTCAGTTGATTTAACGATAAGTATTTGTACAAGTGGGAGGACGCTGTAGCACCCGGAGACAACCATGTGCACGAGGGGGCAACACTGTATTCCCGTAGAGATGGAAAAGATGGCAATGAATACACTTTCTGTACTGCCTTCTGGCGATTCAGGGTATGGCACCTTGATGCCAAAGGGAACAGAGTTTCACAACATTTGTACAATCCACCGACCCTCACCTCCACATGCTGGATTACAGGAGTATGCCACCACCGCCCTGGCATATGTATAACGAACTCTTGATTGTTGGTAAACCACAATGCATGACTCGGAAAGATGTAGTTAACAAATCACACTTGGCCTATTGTAAGCATATCTGAAGACATGTGGCCTCCTGGCCGATGGTTAAGATTGTGTTTGATGTGCTGCCTGTGTACAGAGCAACTGCGTGCAATGCTGTGCGATGTGTCACGGTCGATGTGCGCTCTGCTGGAGACTGTGCCACACAGCGCCATCCTGAGCCTGCCTATCCCACCCGCCGATACCCACAAGCTACTCTCGCACCTCGCCAGGAGGTGGGTGTCGCACACACGTGCATGAATAAACTTGCAACCGCACACCGCAGCAGCAATAGGCATGCAGAGCGAAAAATGTAGCCAAACAAATATCAGTTACTTGCATAGCAAAAAGTACAGGTGTGTGTGTGTGTGTATATAGTAATACAAGGCCTCATGTACACATGCAGTTAAATATGCACCTGTAAGTGCAACTGCACTGTAAAAATTTAGCAGAACTATAATTACAAATGCATAAAGAATTGCTCTTACAACTGCATGTACAGCCTCAGATCAGAATTTGCAACTAGGCGTAAAATAGTAATACGTCGACAGCGCCGCTTGCTCCAGAGATTCATGGTGCGAATCCAGTGGCCACCCCGATTATTACTGCGGGTGTAATAAACATATTAATACTCGCCATTGGCTTCAAAGCGGACGTTAAAGATCCCCTAATCTCATTTGCAAGAGTAGGCCATTGTTTGCCAGAATTGGAAGTTTACTCTATTGGGGATTGTGCATAGCGATCATCGCTCGCGACTCGCGGACTAATTCCCCTCGCCACTCTTGCAAATGAGACGATCCTAGTCTCTTGCGTTTCTACCTGGGTAAACAAAATAAACTTGAAAACAGGCACAGTTACATTTCTCACCACACTTCCAGTTGTGTATACAACAAATTTTCAATCACAGTGCTGCTGCATGTACATTTGCACTAACATTCTCCCATACAACCGCACGCAATGTAAGTACATAAACCAGAACAACCAAATGCTTATTAGCCAGTATTGACACACACAACCTTGCTTAGTCACATGTGAATTGCACTTACATAAGCAAGTATGGTGTTGTGTAGGGAAAATAAACAGCCAAATGGACAATGCCAAATGGATATATTTTCCTCTTGTAATTGATTAACATTGCCTTTAAAATTATTATGGCTGTATAACTATATACTAAGCTAATATTTTGGACATGGACCTTAAAATATATTATCTATGCCTTATGAATGAGGAGAATTTACACAATATTAGCATATATTGTTCATTTATGTGGCAGTTAGTGAAGATGGCAATCATTTGAAGTTGCACAACCATGAATACAGCCACACGTTTGATTCCATTAACATTTAAATTGGCATGCATTTGAGCTTACTGCCAGGTGCAATGGCACATTCAGCTAGTGCTGCAAATAATCAATATAACCACATTACACATTTTTTACTTTAACAGTATACATTTCCAAATCATTTTTATTTCCCTGCAATTTGCAGTGACTGTGATTGTGTAGGCACTGTGCAATTGAAATAATAATATGAACATTTGTGTTTTTTTGCTCTCCATTCAGCCAAGCCATTATGCGGAAGCTGGACAGATTGGAAACCAACCCACCACACACAATTTCAGATGCTCAAGATCGGAGATCAGTGGAGAGCAACGGAAACCCGCCACTCATGAACACCAGCTTTTATTCAAGCTCGGATGTGAATGTAATAAATCAGGACTCAAACCTCACCCCAAACCCAGGCGCGAGCTCAAAATCAAGGAGTTCTTTTTATAATGATGGTTACTCTGACGGGATTTACGATGATGGTTCAAATCTTCCATCGCTCATGACGAAAGCTGTGGCCGCTAGTGCCGGTCGTGGTGACGCTGTGAGCCACAGGGCTGGAAACCCAGGTGATGTCAGCAAAAATTGGAGTCCCTTTGCCATCAGCGCCAGCTACGAGACACCCAACGCCACACACGGGGCTACACACGTGCCTCCCGCATACGTGGAGACCCCGCGGGGGCGACCTCCACCGTCGTGCGACCGTGCTCGTGAAGACGCCCCCGACTACGACAATCTGAGCGACGATTACGACTTTTCGGAAAATATCGCCGAAAAGAAGGACAGAAACGACGATGCTTTTGACATCGATGACTTTAACGACGATGATGAAAGTTGGGCACAGCAGCTGGCGGATGGTGATTGCGTAGATGGGCAAGAACGCTTTGATTGTGAGACACCCAAGCCAATCAAAGAAGGACCCCCACTGCGTAAAAGCCTGCCTACGGGCGTCCATGCCACGCCTGCACAGAGGTTGCCGATCGCCGCAAGCTCATTACGCGAAGGTAAAACTCGCCGTCGTTTAAACGATTTCCTTCAAAGTCGATGTCACTGCGTTGTAAATCAATTTCTTTGTCAGATCACGAGTCGTTGGCCATCGAGATTGGTACTTTACCGAGCCATGTTCGAGTCCGTCTGAAATCAAAGAAATTAAAACTTGATGTAAATAGAAATTCACAGTATGTGTAAGCAAAAAGAGTTTAGCAGGAAAAATGTTTTCCATCGACGATAACAAGTTTCAACCGAAAACAAAATGTTTTATTCTATGTAACCCATGTTAAGAAAATAGTTACGGTAGACTTGCCTGTCAAGTAAGTTGTAATATCTATTGTTATTTTGTTATCACGTGTGTGTATCAGCGCAAGTTCTGCACGAGTTCCAAGGGACATCGTTCCCCCACTCCGCTGAGATGCTCAAGGTGTTCCGGCACAAGTTTGGCCTCCTCCGCTTTCGCAAAAACCAACTAGAAGCTATCAACGCAGCCATGTTCAACCGGGACTGCTTTGTTCTCATGCCCACCGGTGTGTATGTATGCATGTGTTTATTGTGTTGGGAGCGGTTAGCGCTACGCTGCGCTACGAACCTGGCGACCCGGGTGTGATTCCCGCTCACGGCCACACCGGTGACGATTATCTGAACAGGTCCTGGGCCTCCCCTAGGTCGACTCGGCATTAAATGAGTACCTGGTGCGACGTGTAAACATCGCCACTAGGGAGACAAAGGCGGCCGGGCGTGGTGTTGACCACCCACCCCCTCGTGTGCCGTGCCGGCCTTCGTAGGTGTTCGCCAACGGCACTTGCCCCTCTAGTCTGTTACAACTATATGGGGGATCTTTGCCTTGTTTATTGTGTGGTGACGTCAGTGCCACTTAGTGGCGAATGGCGTTTGTTGTTGTTGTTGTGTAATATGCATGCACTTTCCATATTCCTGCGTAGTACTGTTTGTTGTCAATTCTGGAGGTTGTCCGTGGGGGGAAGGGGTTTCAGTCCTCTGACTGATGGGGTTGACCAAAGCACGTCATGGCAGTCTGTCTTTGAGTGCGTGTGTGCGCAGTGATGTTTATATTTTTGTAAGCTTGCTGAGGTACAAACCTGCAAATCCACGTTCAATTCCTGGCCGTGCATGAAATCAGTGCGCAAATGGTATCCGAGTCTGTGCTAGTCCTTGCTTAAGGCAACCCAGCGTTCTGCGAGTATCTTGTGCAGTGTTTGAAGATCAGCAATGGAAAGATAAAGGCATTGGGATGTGATGCTTGGTTTGATTTTATAATTTTGATGAGCCAGGTTTCTCTACCCTGGCCTCTTGAGTTTTCACCTGGTGAAACAAAACCAACTAAATAAATAAAACACACCTCAGTATGTGCCGTGGCACCTTCATCCCTGAGGTCTCTTACCCCTGGTTTACAAGGCTAAGCCTTTGTCTTTTGACTATTGTGTCTGCATACATGTATGTGTGTGTGTGCAGGGGGTGGTAAGAGTCTGTGTTACCAGCTGCCTGCGTGCTTGTCACCGGGTGTCAGCGTGGTGGTGTCACCGCTGAGGTCTCTCATCGTCGACCAAGTTCAGCGTTTGGCATCACTTGATGTGCGTTGCAATTTACAGCACCCATGACAATCGCATACTGCAGCTTAAATTTGATCAAGATGCCTCTTGTAAAAGACAATTTCAGTTGGCAGTCATCTGATCTAAAATAATTAATATCCTCTACATCTAATCTTAATCTGTCCTGTGCATTGTATGTAATCCTAGGTCGTTTAATCAATGGTTATAGTGAATGTGTGGTACATTAGTAGCCGAGTTGTTAGCATACTTGCTTCATTAAACAAACTGGCTCAGGTTGACTGTTAACTTTCCAAGTTCAAGTGTCCATCTGACAGCTGCCCAGTCATTATTTAAGGGATTACCTAAGTACAAAGTAGCCTTACAAAGTTAATGCGAAAGTGTGTACATTATTGTGTGCCCAGTATCATAACTGAAATATGAACTATAAAAGTGTCCTACTTCTAAAACTGCTCAAAATATAAATATAACAGTGATCATCAAGGTTCCACTTATAAAAGTGACAATCTTTTGTTAATCGAGATATATGGATTGATTATTATGTTCACAATAGATGCATCAAATGGTCAGTGTTGGCAAAATAAATTCAGACTATTATCCAGACAGCATACAATACAAGAGAAAACAAAGTGTGTGAATATAATTACGACTCAATATCGAAATTCCAATCATGGAGGGATGAACCATTCATCCCAACTCGTTCCAAGGTAAACAAATTACATGGTGGATTTAATTTCTTAGAGTAGAAAACCGCGAAGCAAATTTGGAGGGAATTCCAGGAGGAAGATCATGATTATATTACAGCAGATGCTTTTCTCTACATGCCATGTTCGTAATGTGCACGTTTGTGTGTATGTATGTGTGATGAAGGATGACTACTGCGCACATGTCTGTGTGTGTGTCCGAGTGAGTGTGAGATGTGAGAGAGTGGGCAGCGGGAGAGTAGCAGTTAACATGCTGCACTACAAACTGGCGACCCAATTTCGATTCCTGCTCACGGCCAACACCAGTGACGATTAACTTAACTGGTCCTGGGCCTTCCCTAGGTCGACTTAGCCTCAAATGAGTACCTGGTGCGGTGTGTAAACATCGCCACTGGGGAGACAAAGGTGGTCGGGCGTGCGGCTGCCCACCCACCCCCTCGTGTGCCGTGCCTGCCTTTATAGGTGCTTGCTATATGGGGAATATTTGTCTTAGTTGGTAGAGAGTGTGCTTGTGTATATGTTTCGGGAGATGGAGCAGGTACAGAGAGTGTGTGGGTGTGTATGGTGAGTGGTGCTACTCATGCTGCGTGTCTCACAGATCCCGGCGACTCACCTCTCTGGTGATATCAATGACGGAGACCTGGCTGCCATTTACATGCAGCTTGCCAAGAAGGAGCCAGTGGTCAAGCTCTTATATGTGACACCAGAAAAGGTGCGACCGTGTGTGCATGGGCAAAAGGCCACCACTTTAACTTGCATAGATAGACTCTAGGTATAACTGTTAATTCACACCAAGTGTGAGGGAGCCTGTGGCCAAGGATGCCTTGTCTGACCCGGATATTATTTTCACATGAGCCTGCCACTTCGGGCTGCAATTATATATATTTTTCTCCGCCAGTATCTTCCTTGCCCTGATCGAGTATTAGAGGGGAATATTTTCTCTGTGACAGCACTGTTTCTAATTTTCGTGTACTCTTGTTCGGTCATAAAATCCAACTGCATCTTCTGCCCAGTAAGAACAATAAAAAAAAAAATTTGACATTAAAATTTCCATTGCACATTCTGTCCCATCAGGTATATTAAACACCAAATGATGTCGTGGTGTTTTAATTACTTAAGAATGTGCCCGTGAAGTACACTTGCTAAGTCTGTTACGAGCTGAGCTAAGGTTGCATGCTTTACAAAAAAAACCGAAAATGATGAAAACTAGAATAACTCCATTTGGACTGCATGTCTAAACCGGTTAAGTCGATTGAATGGCCAATTTAAACTCACTCCAATCTGGTTGGATTGTGTCGGTGTTGCCTCTCTGCTTGTGGCTCTCGCGCAGTTGAGCTGTAGCACTCGTCTGCTGTCGGCGCTCGATAATCTCTACCAGAGGCAGCTGCTGTCCCGTTTTGTCATCGATGAGGCCCACTGTGTGAGCCAGGTAAGGTTTATTTTTATTGCCATCCACTCGAATGAATACACTGTGTGGGACATGCAGATGCCTCGAGCAACATTCAGAGACGTGTAATTTGACTTCGCACTGTTGTCATTTCAACAGGCCATAACGTGCAGAAAATGTAACACTGTGTATTTCACATTTCAAGAACTATTTGGAAAATACTGACTTTAGTGGTTGCTATATTTGTAAGTTTATATATTTTATAGTCTTGTTTGTATGTATGTATGCACGTTTAACTTATTTTGCACCATACGTAGCCAACTGCTAATTGGAGGTTTGGGGGATGGACAACAAACCAAACACAAAAAAAAGTGTGCAGCAGTACTTGCCTGTGTTGCAACTCCGAGCCAGTGGTGGAAATTTTGCATTCCTAAAGTGGATTTCAGAGGCTCCAAAATATGACCGTTGTTTACTTGATACAAAGTGGCACTTTATCAACCACAGAGTGATGACGAAAGGGTTAAGTTGGCAACATTTAAAGGAAGTCTACTCTGCCAAGCACCTTCCCATTCCCTTGCTGATCCGTTCATAACAACTCCTCGCCACGTGTCGCTCACAATCCGCACGTCGCAGTGGGGACACGACTTCCGGCCGGACTACAAGCGGCTGTCGGAGCTGAGGCGCCGTTTCCCGACGGTGCCCATAATGGCGTTGACGGCCACGGCGACGACACGTGTGCAGACCGACATCCTGCACCAGCTCACCATGAACGCGCCGCTCACGTGCGTACTCTCATATGCGCGTGTGTGTGTGTGTGTATAAGCAGGAATGTAATGCTTAGCACGCTGCGCTACGAACCCGACAACCCAAGTTCAATTGCCGCTCACCGCCAACATCGGTGACAATTATCTGAACCAGTCATGGGTCTCCCTTAGGTTGACTCAGTCTCAAATTAGTACCTGGTGCGGTGTGTAGACATCACCACTGGGTAGAAAAAGGTGGCCGGGCATGGTGTTGGCCACCCACCCCCTCGTGCGCCGTTCTGGCCTTCATAGGGGCTCATTAACAGCACTTTCCCTACAGTCTAGGCTATACGGCAGATCTCTGTATTTGTTTTTTAAGCGGCATGGTCCTGTGTGTGTGTGTGCATGCACGCCTAATTGGATACGGTGAGCTGTGGTGCCGTGGTTAGCGTGCTGCGCTACAAACTCAACAACCCGAGTTCAATTCCCGGCCACGGCTTACATTTGATAACAATTTTCTGAATAGGATCTGGGCATCCCCTAGGTCAACTCGGCTATGGTCTTGATGAAGCATTAGTATATATTGAGGTGATCTTCACCACCTTTTGGCTTCAATGCAGACGGTGTTTTTCATGGTCTTCCGAGCAGCCTAGCATGACATGATCTTGCATATGTTGGCGTGTGACCTTCACCGTTTTCCCAGGTTCATCCAGAGTTTCAACAGGGATAACCTGAAGTACGAGGTTTTGCCAAAGAAGCCCAAGAAGGTAGCGGAAGACTGCTTGCAGTGGATACGCAGCAACTACCCACGTACGCACGCACGCACGCACACACGTGTTGCTGTAGTTTTGCCACGATGTGGCATGAAATGTCTATCCATGTGCATCTTTCGTTACAAGTAGTATAATGATTCCGGTGTCATCACGCCTTTGTTCATTCAACCTTAAATTATTATTATTATTGGGCGTGATGTCACCTTTGGCACTAATGGCCATTTGTGGTTCTGAGAACACCGCCCCATTATTTGCTCAGTTAACTTTAATGAGTCTTTGCTAACAGTCGTTGCCATTAGTCTAAATATCTGTGTTGTATGTACGCGTGTGTGCCCGTGCATGTATTCTGGGGAGTGGTGGCATAGTGGGTAGCACACTGCGCTACAGACCCAGCAATCCCAGTTCAGTTATATCAGAACCAGTCCTGGGGCTCCCCTAGATTGACTCAGCCTAAAATGAGCAGCTGATGTGGTGTGCAAACCGTAGGATGGGGGGAAACCCAAGGTGGCTGCGAATGGTGTTGGCCACACCACCACCCCCTTGTCTGCCGTACCGGCATTCATAGGTGCTCGCTAACAGCACTTTTCCCCCAACAGTCCGGTAAAGGCTACAAGTGGATCTTTGTGTGTCCGCAGGCGACTCGGGCATAATCTACTGCCTGTCGCGGCACGAGTGTGACACCATGGCCGAGTCCCTACGGCGGGCGGGGCTGGATGCCCTCAGCTACCACGCAGGGCTCACGGACAAGCAGCGCGACCAGTCGCAACAGTGCTGGATCAACCAGCGCAGGTGCAAGGTTCGTGCATGCACTTTTGCCGTTGGTGATGCATCTGGCAGAGGCTTCTCTCCCAGTGTAGTGGCAGAATGATGCCCACCGGCAGTCCAGGTGCTGCGTTGAACTTGCGCCGCACAGGCACAGCTGCCAATAAGGTCCCCTTTGAGAAGACTACAGCAGGATGGTGGAATGATTTTAGGTGAGATGTAAAGGTGCATTAGGTTTGTTAAAAAAAAAAAATGTCATGACCAATAATGGCATGAAAAAACGGTAAAAAAAAGTTAACGATTTGCCGCACATATAGAAAAAGTTCTAAACCGTTTTTTGAAATGTTTTAGTGATGTGTGGTGCCATGGTTCGTACTCGGGTAATTGCAGTATAGAGGTCGCCAGTTAGATTAAATCTTTCTGCGCAGCAGTTGCAACACCGATAGGTTTCCTAAATCTCCCTGCCTCTGTCCACCCAGTATTTTAAATATCGGTAGGTCGCATGTGGTGGGGTAAAGTATGGGTATGCCCACCTTTTCAAACATGTTCGGTCCCCGTGGAAGATTAGAAAAATATCCTCTAAAGCGCCCTCTAGTGGCGCGTCTTCTGCAAATGGTGGCATGAGAAAGGAGCTGCACCGCTGCACTTTTAACTGAGGCAGGAGGGCAAATGTACTATGTGGTGCCTTAGGCCTACCACCCTTTCGATTTGTGTGCCATTTCGTGCATTAATTACGAAAGTTCCACGAGAAACAATTACCGAGTCTTGACTTTCAGAGTACTGTTTTGCCAGTTAACATTTTTAACAACCCTAGTCTAAATTGATTATTGGCATAGACTGGCTACCTCGTCGCCTTATTGATAGGAGTTACTCGCCTGAAGCTGGCTTACACGCATGTGCCATCACGGAACAGAAATAGTGTTTAATGCACCGCATTGTTAATAAAAAAGTACGCCGTATATTTTGAGTGTATGCTGCGTTTACATGCGTCGGTTGTGCATTGCCGCAGGTCATTTGCGCCACCATAGCGTTTGGCATGGGCATTGACAAGCCAGACGTGCGCTACGTCATCCATGCGTCCTTGCCCAAGTCCATTGAGGGCTACTACCAGGAGTCTGGCCGCGCGGGTCGCGACGGCATCGTGGCCAAGTGCGTGCTCTTCTACGGCTACGGCGACGTCACGCGATTGCGCAGAATCATCCACTGTGAGTTTTTACGCGAGGGGCTGTCGCGATTTCGTATTGTTTGTGGGAGCTACCACGTATTTTTGGAGTGCAATGCAACGTGGATTTACATTGCGGATAAAAACGACGGGATTTAACGGGTGCGTGTTTATTTCACTGAGAGAGGTGGTTGTAGACGGTGGGGAAAAGGAATTAATAAAAACTTGCTTGTACTTTGATGCTCTCATGGTTCAACGTTAAAGTGTCTCTCTGCTCAGCCAGTCGTTAAAGCAATGATTATTTACATTGTTTGCCCTGAGCCAGTGGTGGAAATTCCACATTCCCATGACGGGGGCCGGTCTCCCTATAGGGTGACCACTGTTGACTTCCACCCCATTACTCATCATGTCGGCTCCAGAGGGGTGATCAGCATCGCCTCTAATGCACTGTCCCGTGAACGACACAGTCCGTGTATTCTGCTGAAGTTGCGTGATGTCTCATTACGGTGGCCAGTTGTCAACTACAAGTCGTAGTATACAAGTCGTGGGTTTGATCCCGACCCTGATCCCTGTATATTTGGAGTTTGCACGTTCTCCCCGCGCGCGTGTGGATTCCGAGTCCTCCGGTTTTTTCCCTCCACGTTTAGGATCAACATGCTTTTAGAGTATTTGACCTGCTACTATAAATTTCGACATGATAAGCCACTTAATTGGGCTATCATTTGTGGCCAGGTCACTTCTGAAAAAGAGCTACACATAGCTCAGTGGGCCTTAACCTGGTAAAAAAAAGAAAATAGCTTACATTCTGATGTTTTTGACGCTGCAGCGGAGAGGGAAGGTGGTTCGCGGGAGAGCAAGCAGATGCACATGAGCAACCTCTACAGCATGGTGCACTTCTGCGAGAACATCTCCGAGTGCCGGCGCCTGCAGTTGCTCGCCTACTTTGGGGAGAAGGGGTTCGACCCGGGGTTCTGTCGGAAAAACCCTACCGTGGCCTGCGACAACTGCAGCAGCATGCAGGTGAGGTCTTAAAGTCTTCCTTTAAAAAAAAAAATCCTTAGCAGAAGTTTAGTGCTGGATAGAGTCACATTTGATCCTTACCTGTGTATCGATAGTTCAATGTTCGTGTGCCATTTTATTGAGAGACTGTTATCTATATAAATCAAAGTTTTTTTTTTAAAAAATGCGTTTACTAACATAACTTGGTGGGGACACATATATACACATGGTTAAGATGTAAAATTCGTAAATGAACTTTAAAGTAATTTAAATGTATTTAAGTTAATGAGAATGTACGGCTTACAGTGAATTCTGATATCCATGTCATATCTACCTGGGGGGGGGGGAGCCTTCGGAAAATGTCGTATCGCAAGTAGGACACAGACCCGCAGGCTGAATAAGTGCTCAAGCCGACATTATCTGAGGCACCTGTCTGTCGAGCTCAACTGCTCACCACACGATGGTGGCACGGCGCCTCCTTGTCCGCAACAGACATTCCGCTTGCGCGACGTGACGGAGAACGTTAAGACGGTCGTGCGCTTCCTGCAATCGTTGAGCGGAGGCCGCTGGGGGAGCAGGGGGGGCCTAGCGACGACGCGCTACACCCTCAACATGCTCGTCGACATCTTCCTAGGTACCCCGCGTGTTTGGCTCTGTCTGTGTGTGTGTGTGTACGTACATACGTTGAACTTCTTTTGCACCGTACGTAGCCGACCGTGCTCATCGGAGGTGCGGGGGAAGGGCAACAGACTAAACATTAAAAGCAGTTCTAATTTTTGAAGCTTTTGTGACTGCAGGAATTACTCTGGTTCTTTCGGTAAAGTCGTGTAAAAAGAAAATAAACTAAATAATAGAATACGACGTTTCGACTGGAACACAAGCAGTCATCATCAGGAAGAACTAAATTTGAGAGAGAGACAAAACACAGACACGGAGACACACAGACAGACACACAAGCAGAGAGAGACAACACAGAGAGAGACACACAACATCGACACACAGAGACCCATTGCCTCTGTGTCGAGGCCTTAAATAGAGAGAGAGGGGGCGGGCAGAGAGAGAGATGTGGGTCTGCTGGGGCAGCTGCTGGAGCAGAGAAATTAGCATGTCAATGAGTTCTAAAGAAATTAGATAATGAGCGTACGCCTGTGTTTTTTTGTTCACCGTAAACTAGTTGCCTTGCTGATCGCATCGGCTTTTTGGAGAAGAAAGGCGTCGATTTTAAAATCTTGAAATGGTAAAACGTCTCAAAAGCCAGGCCAAGTTGGGGGGAAGACTCTGCGGATAAAGGGGACCTCCCCGAATCTGTGCGGGTCGACGGGATTATTTGACCATACTTGACCACGTTGGTCTGTGTAGGTTATTGGAAGGCGGGGAGAAGAGACCCCTGGGTGAATTGGAGCACAATACAACAATGCCTCTTGGTGCAATTCCCATTGCCTCCCACAAATGTAGCGCAGCATTCTAAATTAATCGCTCGAAATTTTGGACGTGGGCAAATCTGTTTAAAAAAACAGGTCGACTCTACCCTTGAAACATAACTCATAACCATTGCAACATGCTTCTGTCGCCTCCCCCCCACGCAGGCACCAAGTCGGCCCGCGTGACCTCGGGCCCCATGTTCGGTGTTGGCTCCAGCTTCTCGCGTCACAACGCAGAGCGGCTCTTCCGCAAGCTGGTGCTGGACGGTGTGCTGCACGAGGAGCTGCACATCACCGGCAACGACCAGGCGGTGTCGTACGTCGGGGTCGGATTGCGCGGCAACGACCTGCTCGCTGGAACGGCGTTCAAGGTGCGAGCCAGTTCCGCAGCCTAAAGCTGGGACAATTGGGTTTAGTCACCCCTGTCCGGTTCCGAGACGTCTGCAAGTCGCAGGGTGGGTGTCCCCTTCACCGCCGAATCTCGGAGCGCGCAAGCGGTTCAGCGTTCATTTTATTTAGAGGAGGCGTAAAGACATTCTACTCACCGCGGTGAACCGCAGCGACACGACCGCACTCGATGATGGCTGGCGCCAAGCTGGGCCACGCGCCCTCCCGCATGGCCTTTTACTCCGATTCCGTTCCGTTGACGTAGGATGCCGTACGTGTACGTTGACGTGCCTGTACGTCGTCGGAACGGGAAAGGGTTGATGAACTCAAAATTGTTAAATGGCGGTCGCCCCCCCACGTCCTGCCCTCCCGATGGCAGGAAACCCACTACGAGCTACGACCAGCGTGATGTTTCTGACCAATGCCGATGAATCATATGCCAACCGTGCGAATCGGAGGTGCGGGGAAAATCTGACCCGCAACCACGATGAAAAATTTTGCTGGAGATGGTATGAAAACAAAAACCCCCGACCTGGCCGTTGGAGCGCGTGACGGCGATTTTCTCGCGGCAGCGCAATTGTTAGACCGAGTCGCGTCGCGCGTCCCCCGTTGTGTGCCCCAGGTGGAGCTGCAGGAGACGGAGAGCTGCAGCAGCATGCGCCGCAGCCGCGCCCAGGTGTGCGGAGGCTCCTCGACGGCGCAGGTGATGGCGGAGCAGTGTGCGCAGGAGCTCACCGAGCTGTGTCGGCGCCTCGGGGACGAGCGTGGCATCAAGTACTACAACATCTTCAGCACCGTCACGCTGCGCAAGATTGCGGGTACGAAGGACGCGCGCGGCCTTCCAAATGTTTTCATCTCATCGCGTAAGGCCCCCCCCGACTGAGCTGCGTAGCTTTTTTTTCAGAAGCGACCACGGCTGTCACAAATGATCGCTCAACGTAGTAGTAGTAGTAGTGGCTTATCGTGTGGAAATGTATAGCAGCCGCATACTCTTGAACGCACGTTGGTTCTGAATGTGGAGGGAAAAATCGGTGGACCCGGAGAAAAATTCACGCGACCACGTGGAGAGAGAGAGAAGACACGCAAACTCCAAAATATACAGGTGTCAGGGTCGGGATCGAACCCACGACTTCCTGTATACCAGGCGAGGTAGTTAACATCTCGCCACCGTGGCACGATGTTAACTACCTGAAGGTTTCGAGTTCAAACCTCTGTCCGTGGACCGACCTTGCCGGTTGTCGCTGTGACCCTGATGAAAAGAGAGTACCGTCAACAGTGGTCTTCGTACAGTTGTACAGATTACCACCCGTAAAAATCTATACATTTCCCCCTGCTGGCTAAGGGTCAGAAACGGAGATGAGCTCGGCCCTGTAATCATTTGAATGCGTTGTGTTTTTGAATGTCGTTGATGACCACATCCCTGTATCCCCCCCCCCCGCCCCCCCGCACGCTTCTGTGTCAGAATCTTTCTCGGACGATGCGGAGGCTCTCCTGCAGATCGAGGGCGTCACGGAAGACAAGATGCAAAAGTATGGCACTGAGGTCTTGCAGGTCATGAGCAAGTACACGCAGTGGCGCCTTCCAGGTAAGACCCTACACACCTGCGTTGGCTACTTGGTGTGAAACTTTCCCTTCTAGTCTTCTATTCTTATTGGTATAATGCCGTCAACATTGTATCATGGGATCAGTCCACTTTCATTTGAGCTGTCGCACTGAGCAGGGTAACATCACTTCTTGTCCGAGAATGATCACTGGAAAATGATGTCGCGTAACGACTACGTGATTCCCTTCGTATACCTCGTATCCACACTCGCTCGGTGGCACACCTAGTGTGTATGTCCTTCAAAGAGTGTCACGTGGCAAGAAACCCGTATTTATTTTAGTCCTCAAGGCTGGATTACGGTATATTAAGTGAAAAACTAAATAATGGTTTTGTGTAGTTATTCGTAACTGAGTTAAGACCCTAGACTTGCTGTACTTAAGAGCCCAGTATAGTCAAAATAGCTGCCTGCATTCGCCAGTAATTACAACTAGCTTCATCAGGCGACAGCCAGATTTGTGGATAAATCTTCCTGTTTCGTTCCTTAAAACAAACCTTAATAATTGGCTGTGTTGGGTGGTGGCGGGTTTAGTGATACATTTATATACTTATGCGATCTAACCCACAAAACCTTCATTATGGATGATATTGGTCGCAAAAGCCTACGTGTTAAACTGGTCTTAAACTCCTGCATTTATGCATCTCTGCCCTTAGGGAACGGCACCAACTCTACCGAAGGAACGTGGCTGGATTGCAGCCGCCCGATGGAACCCGGGCAGTCGCCTGGCACGTCCCACGTATCACCGTACGTCCCCCCATCCCCTTCGCCATCGGCGGGATCGTCTTCCGCTTACTTTAGCTCGGGGCACCGTGGCAGGGTGGGCAAGCGCAAGGCGAGAGGCGGTGGCCGGAGTTACAAGGGCAATAACTACAAACGGCGTAGAGTCTCGGCGGACAGCGCGGAGGGCAGGTGAGTTACTCCCCACAGAGGGCAGCCGATGAACACGAATAGGCGTGTACTAATACACTGTTTAGATGCATGTAAGTACCCTCTAAAAGGGGGCCCTTGATTTAATGCAAGTATGACACGGATTCAAGATATAACAAACAATTAGGGGCTAATGTATTACATCATCAAAACATTGTAATAATTCACATTGCTGCAATGCATGGTTATGACTGACTTTTTCGAATGAAAGAAGCTTGACACTCACGTTGGACAACCCTGTGACACAGGCGTTTAAGCTCGAGTCTCTTGGAGGGCTGCGACATCGACCTTGTTGTCCTCGAAAAGGCAACCGCACTTTGCCTACGACGACCTTTTCCGCGTGAGGCCGGTATACGCAGAGCCTTTAAAACGGCCGTTTGCCGATCACATAATGGCTCTTGACGACATTTGTTGTGGTGGCGGCTGATATGATGCACGCGTGGTACCATCACTTAACTGAAGCACCACTGCAAGGATTGTTTTCTTGCTCCCATTTAGGCTGTGAGGGTGTGTTTCCGGGAAAAGATTGAAGTTGCAGTGTATTGATTTTAGCTCGGGGGTTGCCATTATGCTGACGTGAGCATAGTTTTAGACCCCCGTGATTTTGGCCAGCTTGCGTCCATGCCTCCTTCCCCACTGCTGCCTCTCTATTAACTATTTTTATTTTACCAGGTAAGGCTCACTGAGCCTCTTTTTCAGAAGTGACCTGACCGCACAAATGATTGCTCAACGAAGTGGCTTATCACGTGGAAATTTATCGCAGGCAATTACTCTAAACGCATGTTTCTAAATGTTGAGGGATAAACCGGAGGACCCGGAGAAACACCCACGTGACCACAGGTAGAGAGAACACGCAAACCCCAAATATCCAGGGGTCAGGATTGAGATCGAACCCACGACCTCCTGTATACTAAGCGAGGTAGTTAACGTCTCACCCCCACCCCCTCCGTTCTCCACCATTTCTCCATTGCCCACAGCAGTTACTCGAGCAGAGGGTGCGGCGGCCAATTCCGCGGCAAGGGCCGGGCCGGCGCTCGCAAGGGCGGAAGCGGCAAGAGTGGCGGGGGTGCGGTGGGCTTCATGGACAGCTCTTACACCCCCCCCAGTCGCGCGATGGGCGCAAGCTGGACCGGTCTCAATCGCAAGCCGGGACTCATGGCCATGCCCACACCGCGGGGTGCACGTACCACCTTCCCCTACAACAAATGAGTCGTCGAGGCTTCCTTATCGGGACACACTGGGGTGACGAAGTGCTGCAGTTCATCCACAAGCACGGCTCAGTCCAACGTTACTACGTTTCGGCACAAGTGCGGGTACTGCTTATGTTCTCTTATTCCCCGGTTTATGGTTGTTTCAGCGCTCCATATTTGGACTCGTGGACTGACGACAGCAAAGACCTTGTTTTAAAATAATAAATAAATGTATATCGAGCGACCGTTGGTGTACGTGTGTGCTTTGGCTCACTGCACCGTAGCATTAGTATTGATTTCCGCTAAAAAAATATTCTGTCTGCTTTGCACATAAGTTGTGGATCTGGTGGAAATACTTGAGGGTTTACAGGCGCAGTCAGTATCACCAGTGCCCGGTGACGCACATTCCAGTGATGCCTGCGGGCCCTTTGACCCTTTGCTTTAACAACAAAGTATTCCACATTCTCACATGAGCAATTCAAGTCACAGAAGGCTGTGTTAAACAACAGATGTATAATTTTAGTTTTGCTGCCGTGGCTGAATAGCCCCGTCATCGGTGCAATCCCCACTGAGGCAGTCAGCACAATGCTTATGGTTTGATGCCTGCTGTGAATATCTGCAACTGGTTATGAGTGTGCACGTATCGATTCACCCCTGATGTGATATGATGATCTGTCACAATTAGTAGTCACAATGTTGATTTTAAGTTTTCGTGACTGCAGGAATCCATACTCTTTGGTTCTTTCGGTAAAGTCACGTGGGTATAAAACATAACAGATCACGACGTTTCGATCGTCATCGATTCTTCCGCCTGATGACGATTGCTTGCGTTGCGATCGAAACGTCGTGATGTTATTTATTTCTACCTACGTGACTTTACCGAAAGAACCAAAGAGTACAGTAGGCACAATTTAAATCAAAGTCATCCCTTTTTGTCTTATTTATACCGTCTGCTATCTTGTCTGTACTGCCCTATACTGTCTCATTGGTACTGTTTGTACTGTCCCACTTACGCTGCCTGTTTTCCCTGCATTGTTGCGTTCAGAATATGTGCTGCTTAATTTGTGCTTTCTGTGATGTCTCACTTGTACTGCGTGATTTGTTCTGTTCTGTTGCACCATCCTGTGTTACGGTCTAATTTCATGAGGCTATAGATTTCTTTCGACGATGCTTTGCCTTCTGTCTTGCACATCATCTTCTTTGGTTGAAGGGATAACTTCGTTTTTACACCATTTTCTGCATTTGCGAGTAATGGGATTACATTTCAGGTGATGAATCTTTACTCACCTAGTTCATACAAAAATTGTGCCGTGTGCTGTAAAGTGGACAAGGAAGACAACCCAAAAGAATAAATAGCTGTCTTGTTACTACATACCAAGACTGGGTTTCATGACCTGTCCAATGCGATTTGAAGCTTAACTCGTTTTTTTACGGAATTGAAAAGAACAGCAAAATGTGAGTTTCAGGTGCGATGCCATTGCATCCTATATATAATTGGCATCCAAGCCATGCTGGAGCCTCACTACTCTAGCTACACCACGATGCACCGTGTACAACAGTGAAAGTTGTTTCATGTTATTTTGTTCGTGGACCAACTTGCATGGAAGAAAATGTGAAAACCCACAAAGGCTGCATTCACATTGTTCTATAGGGAGGAACTTGACTGTGTGCTTTAATTGCACGTGTTAGTTCAACTATTACATTGCTAGGGAACAATATTATTTTGGTACTGAAAAAGGACCTAATTGTGTTTGTGTGGGTTGCATTTCCCTTTAAGACGCTAGGCTATTATTGTGTGTCGGTGCCATATCTTGAATGTTACACATAAGTCCGATTTGTAACGTGCACAATTTATTGTGGCGAGTTGCTATAACAAGTAAGATAAATTGGCTACAGGTTATCAGAAAGTTTATCAAAGTCCTTTTAGTCTAAATTCTAAAAAAGTCTGGATACATATTTAAATGTCCCTTTTTTGGCAATTGTGTTTTGTGTTTGTAGTTTCAAACTAGAGGAGATCATGGAGAGCCAAGTTTTTTCTCAGTGGGGAGTGGGAAAATGCAGGAAGTTGGTTTGGAATTGAGCATGCAATATACAGGATTGCGAACTGCTGCGAACACCCCAATGTCATATTAAATGCATGGAGAAAATGTAAAAAAATATTTGTTAACAGAAAACATTTTTACAATAAATTACAATCTTATATGTTCAACGTGGATAAGCATTAGTTATCTTCGAATATTTAGGTTGTAACTGCTGTGAAATGCGTAACCCACACAATTAAGGTTACTCATGCCAATACACACACCGGTCACTGCAGTGCTAGTAAGGCATGCTTCATGTTGTGTACGACGAGTGTGTTTTGCGTGTTAGAAAGTAAATGTATTTAATGTGTATCGGTGTATTTAATCGTCGCAATGTGGTGCTGACCATCTCTACACATTCAATATTTTCCCTGAATGGTTATCCATGCCGCAGCCTATGCCATCCCAGAAAGGCTTACGGCCACTCCCTCCTTCCTGGCGGGCCGTGTCCGCATGGGTTGAGAACAGCTGTTTCTCTCACGTAACCCGAATTGTGAATGCTGGGAGTGGTTACAATTGGTGGCGTAGGAAAAGCGTAATTTTATGTAGATAAATTGGATCCCAGAAGATGATACACGGAACACATGCCAATGTAAGTACAATTTAATTTAAAGGTAATGTCATGTGTGTATTGGACAATACAAAATTGGCAAGATCGAAAGTATAGTTTAGCAAGTTTTGTCATAACAGTAAATAATGTATGCCATGATTTAATAATACTTAAATGGAACAAACTATATGTCTGTCTCTTTCATCTCGTAAATTAGCATAGCACTGGGCAGATCACCGAACTGACTTTACCATTCTTTTTTATTTACCATTATTCATTGATGGTATCCGACTTGACTTTTGTCGTACTTATTATTGTTTATGTCCTATGTATGTTCCCATGTTCAATCCAGCTTTGGCTTTTTGTTCTTGAGGATCTGAGCCAGTGCTGGAAATTCCACATTCGGCCGTCTCCATATTGTGACCATTGTCGACTTGGCCAGTGAAGAGAGATCACTGTACGTGTATTCATATTGTGGTTGTATTATCATCTGAACGATACGTATGCTACAGGACCGAGGTGGAACCTGGAAATATTATGACGCTTGAAACCAAGTGCCTAATTAAGACCACACTTGCAAATGTTGTTACAGTTTGTTATTAACCAGCACTAACCTTCCGTTCGTGACAGGATGCTGCTGTATTGTAACGGTTAGCACAGTGGACGCCGGTTCCATCTCCCAGCCCACCAGCAGTAATGTATAGGTGGATCGGCAGGTGGGGGTAACGTGGGTCCTTTCTACCCCTTCCAAATGCGTTATGACCAGCGTGGGAGAGTAGTTGGCTCTTGACCTCCCGTCTTGTGGAGGGCCTTTCGCCAGCAGAGGTTGTGAGCACCAGTAATAGCTCGAGTTGTATTTTTGCCTGATTTGTGGGCGTTGAGAAAGTGTTTATAATTTGTTAATAGTTTTAACGTTTTGTTGGATTTGAAGGCTTCGGTTGCTGTTACGATTTGTATAAATGTATGACTAGTGGTGATACACGCACGGCGTCAGTCGTGCATTATTTCACACGTTGGCGTTGTTTCGGTGTTAATAAAGATTTTTTGAAGCAATCCGTTGAATTTTTGGAGGTTTATAATTTCTGAATATTCTATAGTCGACGCTTGCCTGTGATGTGTTTTTACATTTTTATTCAATTCGGAATAAATGTCCCACGAATGCAGCTCATTAATTTACAGCTGCAATATTCACCGAGTTTTTTTAAGTATCGTACAATAGCACGCATGTGATTAAGCAAATATGAGCCCACTGACAACTTATAAAACAAGGGCAAAATAAAAAAAAACACAAAACAACTCCGGTTTAAGTCACAATTTGCTTTATTCATACAATAAATGCAACAACCTCAACGTATCCGATTTTTGGCTCCCATCAAATTACAAATATTGACTTTTTTCATCTTTAAATAAATGAAGAGCTGATAAGATTACCAGCATCATTATTTAGACTGCTGGAGGAATCCGATGAGCTGTGAAGCTCTCTTTCACAGATGTCCATCAGGGGCGGGTCAGTTTCGTAACCCTTTTATAACAAAACGTATGGAAAAAAATATATTGGTAACTTTTCAATGTTTCCTCAACGCGATAGCAAATCCTCTATTGTGCCAATGTTCAAGTATAGTATATATACACACGAGATATACTGTATCACTTAAACCGCATTTCACGCTTTCAGATGCGCTTCTGCGGTCGTCTGGAACGCACTTCCTTGCGATATCAGGAAGCCACTGGAGCGATGCACTTTTAAATCATGTAGATTGAGAAAACTAATTTCTTTAGAACTGCTTTATCTGTTCAGTTTGTTGTCCTTCCCCACACCTCCGATTAGCGCGATGCGAAACAAGTTCAACAAACACGCACATCAGACATTCGCAAAGCTGTCAACCCATACGGTTTACCCCGTATTCTTGTACAGGGAAATTGAGTTTTCAGCTCCATACGGCGTACAGCCGTTTCAATACGGGCAAAAAAAAAATGTGTGCGTTTGCGTTTCTCCCTTGTGATGGTGGGTCTAGGATGAACGCTGAGATTTATAAGGGGCACGGGGTCACCAATGAGCTCTGAATTGGTCTGTAATAAGTTAGGGCACTGATAAGGGATGCGCATTCGCTCGACGTTATCTTCGCTCCTACGACCCACACCACTGCGCTGGACTTGGCTGCGACCGCGCTCGAACGCCTTCAAACGTACGGAAGATCACGGAGTCGCTTGATTGGCGACTGTGGGTTCTGAAGTCCATCTCGCTTGAGTGGTGTGTCCATCCGGTGGTGAGCGGTGGCGGAGCGGTTAGCGCTCACGCTGCGCTACGAACCCGGTGACCCGAGTTCAGGATTCTCGCTCGCGGCCAACGCCGGTGAACAATTGTCTGAACCGGTTCTGGGTCTCCCCTAGGTCGACTCGGCCTCAAATGAGTATCCGGTGCGATGCGTAAAAACTTCGCCACTGGGAGGGGGTGGGTAAGTGGTGGGGGAGACAAAGGCGGTCGGGCGTGGTTACTGGCCACCCACCCCCCCCCCCCCCCCCCCCTAGTGTGCCGTGCCGGCCTTCATATGTTGCTTACTCGCTCACAGCACCGCACGGTCTGTTGAGTTATCACACGGGGAATCTTTTTTTTACTTTTTGAAGTCCGAACCATCGAACGCACCGCCGACGCAATGTCCCAGCCCACGCACATCCTCGGCGGGGTCGCTGCAATGCCCACGGCCGACCTCCTTGGAGTGGTTGAAAGGGAAACTTCAGCGTTCAACTGAAACAAACGCGTTACAAAACTGTGGTGCCATGCGCATTTTTAAAAAAAATTTACGTTAAAAAAACAAAAATCTCTCTCTCATCGGACTCTTAGCCGCTTCAATAAACCGCCTGTTAACAACACCGCATTCTAACACAGCTTTATCGGATTATAAATCAATATGCAGATTCTAATAATCTAATAGTAGTTTAACAATTTAACGTGAATTGATAGAAAAAAAATGAAAACTATTTCCGAACCGCTTGGAGTTTGCGAACGCACCCCCCCCCCGACTCGCACCCGGAAGCGGAAGCGAGCGAGGCCGGCCCCGTGGGGAGCTCCGCACGTGGCTTTGGTTGGCCACGTGGAGATTCGCTCTCACTCGCCGTAGGCCTCTGGTTTTTTAAAAGTCTAAAAGTGCAACAACAACAACAAACAAACAAAATACTTTACTGGACGACGGTACGTGTATGCCACGGGAGAGGGGTTTGACGCTGGAACTGTACGACACTTGCAACCGGGTGCCTAAATTTAAGACCGCGCTTGCAAATGTTGTTACCGTTGTCTGTTATTAACCGGCACTAAACCTTTCGTTCGTGACGATATTGGATGTAGCTCAGGATGCTGCCACGTTGCTGAAACGGTTAGCACAGTGGACGTGCACGCGAGATGTAGCCGGTTCTATCTCGCAGCCCGTCAGCAGTACTCTTTATGTGTGGATCGGGGGGGTGTAAAGTTATGGGGACTTGCCTCCCCTTCCAAAGGCGTTATGACCAGCGTGGGAGAGTAAGGTGGCTCTAGAATTCTGTCGAGTGGAGGAGGCCATTTCGCCTCCAACGTGTTGCAGAGGAATGACCACGAAGGCGAACGCACGAGAGATGCGGTGAGCGAAAACGCCTTTGGAAAGTGACCACGGCGTTCGCGTCTTCCGCCACCACGCGTGACGGCGTTTGTAACGGGAAAGTCTCCATCGGGATGCTAAACAATTTAAAAAAAATATTTATATTGTCAGGAGTAACGGGAGATAAGTCGCCGTGCACGCATTGGGGATAGTTCGCCTTCACGTGTCATCATAGACGCGGTTCCCCAACCGGCTTGCTGGAACTGTCTCAGAGCCGCCTCGCACCCCTCAAGTTGGGGGTCTTAAGCGCGGTACGTTGCTGGTTAAGCTCATCCCATCGTTCTGAACATCAATCAGGTGCCGGAGGAATGGAGAGGTAGAAGCTGCCGGAACCACAAGCGCGCGTTGCCACACCTTCCCCGGCTAAACGCGCTGTTGTTGTTTCTGCTGCTGCTGCTGTTTTTGTTGCTGCTGTTCTTGCTGCTGTTGCTGTATTTATTGCTGTTGTTGCTGTTGTTTCTGCTGCTGTGTTGCTACTGTTATTGCTGTTGTTGCTGCTGCTGTCCTTGCTGCTGTTATTGTTATTGGCTGCTTCTGTTGTTGCTTTTGTTGTTTCTGTTGCTGTGTTGCTACTGTTATTGCTGCTGCTACTGTTATTGCTGCTGCTGCTGTTCTTGCTGCTGTTATTGTTGCTGATGTCGTTGCTGCTGTTGTCGTCACCATCGCTCTACGAGCAGTAGCCCCGGAGCGGCGGAGCAAGCCATGGCGAGCGCGGGCGTTTACGCAACCATCCCGGCCACGCTCAAGGGCAGCCGCACGCCGTGGCCCGAGAAACTGAAGCTGGCCCGCGCCGCGTGGAGCTCCCTACGCTGCCTCCTGCCCAACAAGGAACAGGTACCGGAGGATCGCCGAGTCGGAGACGGATTGGGGGGGGGGCGCGGTGGTCGGCAGGAGGAGGAGGCCACGCGCGGAGAGGTGCCACGGATGCAAGGGGAGCCACACTGGTGGAGGAAAAAGTCGAGGATGTCGGTCCACCCATCATGCAACAAACCATCGCGCAAACTGCGGTCGTCCTCGCAGCGCCCGGCGGCTTTTTGCTGACCGTCGAACGAAGACGGTGGTCAACCGGTCGCGCGGCGCTCTCGGATGCGCTTCTGCGGCCGTCTGGAACGCTCTTCCGATATTAGGAAGCCACTGGAGCTACGCACTTTTAAGACTAATTTGGAAACTTATTTTTTTCGAACTGCATTTTGAGTTTAGTTTGTTGTACTTCCCTCGCACTTCTGAATTTCACGGTTGGCTGCATACGGTGCGTACATACGTACACCCTGGGGAGCGTAAATGGGAAGGAGGGGTGGCTCAGATGAAACAAGAACACGAATAGTGAGCAACTCATGTAAGTAAATGTGTTGTCTGTTTTATTACTGCTCATCGCTTTATAATCTGTTTACTTGCTGGAACATTTGGTTGTGTGGGCACTGAATGAGTAAAAAGCAGAGACTAATTAAAACCAGTATATAAATGCATGTTATTGTTCCCCAAGCACTGTTAATCCGTTGCACGGTTAATTCGTTACCCAGATAAACCCTCCACTGTAGCGGAGCTGGACAATACCTCTGGGCTTTGCGATATGAGCATCGCGATGCTGTGTTGCCTACAGTTTAAGAAACCTAATTTGCCAATCCGCGAGTCGGTCTGTCTGTCGCAGCACTTCCCTGAGCCCAACATTAGGAAGTAAAAAAAAATATTTCACCAGGTAAGGCCGACTGAGCTATATAACAATTATTCAGAAGTGGCCTGGCCACAAATTATAGCCCAATGGAGTGGCTTACCACGTGGAAATTTATGGCAGCCAAATACACAAAAAGCGTGTTTCTAAATTTGGAGGGAAAAACCGGAGGACCCGGAGAAAATTCCACGCGACCACGGGAAGACACGCAGACCCCAAACACACAGGCGTCAGGGTCGGGGTCACGAACCCACGACCTACGTACCAGACGGGGTCGTTAACATCTCGCCACACCACGCTTAGCGCGGAGGCCAAGCGCTGGAGACGAGCGGCAAACATTAGGGCTGTGGGGAACTTGACACGGACACGGTGAGCTAGGAGAGATGCACTGCGCGTGTCCTTTACGATGCTCTCTCTCGGCGGCGTTGCGGACCGACAGCTGCTGCTGGACTGGGCGTGCAACTCGCTGTCGTCGTACTACTCGCGCAAGCTGCTGCTGGACCCCGGCGTCACGGCGCAGCTCTGGGCCTTCCTGGGAGAGGCGCTGGGCAGCGCCCGTGTGCGGGGCGAAGGCCGGCCCGTGTCTCTTCGAGCGCCCGTCGCGCAGGTCAGCTGACTGCCCCCCGCGCTCGCCCTCTCGGTGACAACGGTGGGGGGGGGGGGTGGAGGGAGTAGATCGCTCGGTGAAGAGACTCGCCACGGATGCAGCTTCACTCTTGGATAAGTTTCGCTGGTCTTTACGTCCTCGCGGGATCTACGTAGAAAAAAATGAATAACAGCTCGCCGCTCTTCTAAATTGCAGTTGTGCAAGGGCGCTGTCAATGACCACTACTGAATTCCCACAATGCATTGCTTTGATTTATTTACAACCCCTGGGCAAACAGTGAACCCCCTGACTGGGATTTGAATTCACAACTGTCCAATCGATAGTTGGGCGCTACTGTAGCTGGCAGTACAGCAAGTAGTTTCACACTTTCCGAGACACTCATCCGATGTGATGTTGTAATACGGATCGACAGCACAGCTGTTAGGGGTGGCTGTGCTATGACCACCCCCCGCCACCACCCACTCCCCCCACCGACCCTCATTACATTCCCAGCCGCAACCGACAGCGGTGGTGGCGAGCGATATCTGAACCGGTCAGAGAACGGTGGAACGAAACGAGCCGAGTTGCGCTGCGCAGATGCTGGTGGAGCGGCTGTGCGAGCTGGCGGGGCTCCGGGCGGCGGAGGGCGCCGGTGCCGGCGTCGGCGGTGCGGAGCTGGAGACCCCGAGCGCAGCGACGCTCCTCGCGTGTTTCCACGACATCCTGCGCACGCCGCCGCTCCGCACCATCCTAGCCGCCAAGCTCGAGCTGCTGGCGCGGCTGCTACGGGCGCTGCTCACGATGGCGTGCCGCTCCCTGCTCCCGGCGTCCAGGGAGGAGGGAGCGCGGGGAGGGGCAGCTCCCATCTCCTCGTCCGACTCTCCGTCCGTCGCTTCGATTCTCCAGGTGTCGCCGGAGTTTAACTGCGGGCGGATTCGCTGCACGCAAACCGACGCGTCGGCACCAGACTCGGCTGCCGCGCCGTTGCTTTGGCCGTTGCTGCCCTAGGCTTGAGTGTCGCGTTGGGCGCGTTGCGGACTTTTGCCGGGAGGTCTTCCGGCAGGATGGGAGTTAAGGAACTTGGGAAGATCCGAAGAGATCGTGGCAGGGAGGGCATTGCGATTGGTAGGGGCACGTGTTTTTGGATGGAGGAGGGCAGGTGACCGAGAGGGACATTGGAGTGGCACGCAGATGTTGCTGAGGCCACGGGAAAGGCCTGAAGCCTGATGGTGGGATAACGTGGGCGGACAATTGGAGGTCGGTTCTCTTGTGTGTGCAACAGCTACGGAATTTGGCAGACGGTGAAGTGTGATGACATCAATTGTATTGGCTATCATGACCTCTTGACCTTTTATCTACACTATATAGATAAGTAATTTGTCCCTTTGTGAGTGAGCCTGTCAGTTACGGGACCTCCTTTGAGTAATATCTGTCACACAGAGTCGACTAAGGGCTCATTCTGACCGGATGGTGTTGTTGATGAACTGCGTAGAGCCTTTGAACTTTGATCTTGGTAAAAATATCAATGACCAATAAAAAGTTGGGACAACTCAAGCCTGTATCTAATAAATTAGATGTTTTAACGAGAGTGGATCTTAGTCTTTATTAGTTTAAAACGTCTCTCGAACACGAGAGGGAAAGGGTGGGAGGTGAGAAGGGAAGGAAGCTACCCAGAATGCATTCCAGCAGCAGCAGCAGCGTGATAACAAAACGGTTGGCTCCACGTTGTTTTTCAATGCGACGGTCTAACGATACTTTTTCAGCTCGCCGTCGATGCAAAGCGCGTCCGCTAAGGAATCGCAATTCAGAACACATTATTTCTCCCCGTCCCGTCAGACGGTGCCCGCGCTTGCTCCGCCCCCCCCCGCAACGCGACGCCCTAAAACCGCATCTCCCCTCTGCGTCCGCGCGGGCAGGTGCTGTCGCAGACGCTGGCGCTGTACGCGGCCACGCAGAGGCAGCAGGTGAACGCGCAGCGCGTCTTCCGCCTGCTCACGGGGCAGCTGCTGGGCCCCGCCATCGCGCTCCGCCACCTCCTGCTGTCGGAGGGCGGCATCGCGGTGCTCGGGGCTGCCCAGCAACCGCTCCCCACCTTGCCTCGGTACGACCGGGCCCCCACCCACTCCACAACTCTCGCCTCGCCGGATAAATAATGTGAGATGTCAATCTCACTTTTGTGGGAATATCCAGTGGCCGCCAGCGAATGATTTGTACCCGGCTTACGCCGAGCTGTGATCAAAACAACGAGACAAAAAACAATACTTGCAAAGTTGTACGTACGTACGTGCAAGTTAATGACGACGACGATGACGATCCGTCCCCGCAGCGACCCCGCGGACGGGGAGGCCCACGCTGGCGCCCGGGCCCCGGTCGCCCGGGACATCCGCTCCCGTCTGGAGGCCGCCGTGGCCGCGGCGCTCTTCCATGCCGACCTGCTGCCCTCGTACCGCGACGAGCTGCTGCCCCCCCGGCCGGACGCCGCGGGCAGCAAGGAGCGGCACCGCAAGGCGCCCGGAAAATCGTCGTCCGGGCTGGCACCGGTAAGCGCCGCCACGCGCGCCCCCCCCCCCCCCCCCCCCCCCCCCCAGCTGTACGCTTGGAGGCGTACGTACGCGTGCGTGAGAGCCCCTGTGTCGATCCGGAACCTCCACATCGCCGGGATGGGTATGTTATGTTTGGATGGCCACCGTTGGCGGATAATGGGCACCTTTGGTGCCCCCACTGGGGTTGGAGCGTTTTGAGGTGCTCCGGCCGTCGTTACTCAAGCACACGCCATGCCACTGCTGGATGAGGGCCTGCCCACACCGCGGTGGTTGGACCACACCGCGCCACGCTGGTCAGTGCAGGTGGATGCAGGCGGGGGAGCGTAGAACTACAGCCCAACAACGGGTATCGCCGCACCAACCTCTGCTGCCCACAGCATCGACATCTCGGATGACAATCGCACGGGAATTACAACTCGTTAGGAATCGCAAAGCTGTCGCAATCACGTGATCGCCGTTGTTTGCCACCGTCCCACGGGCCGGCTCCACGTTAGCCTGCGGAGGCCGGGACTCGCGGCCCCCTGACCTGTGACCTCTCGACCTCATTGCCCTTCCCTGCCCATCCCTCCCGCTCTCTTCCCGTCGGGGGGTTCTTTCCACCGCCCTCCCCCGCGCAACGCAGCTGCGGACGATCCTGGACGTGGTGAGCTCGCCGGGCGTGCCGGGCTGGGACGGAGCCTCGGCGGGCGACGACGTCGATCCCGTGCCGTGCGGAGCCGTCCCCTTGCTCTACCGCCAGCTGCTGGAGGCGTACGGTGGTTCGTCGGACTCGGCTGCCATGCTGTGCTTCCGAGCGCTGCGCCGGATGGTAGCGGCGCTCGGCGTGGAGCCGGAAGACGCCGCCGCCGCCGCCGCCGCTGCGGTGGCAGGGGAAGAGGAGGCGGAGGGGACGGGCGCCGCGTCGAACATCGAAGCGTTGGGTGAGAGGCACCGGCGATTCGGTGGTTTTTGTTGTTTTTGGGGGAGAGCGAACATGCAAACTCCAGATATCCAGCAGGCGTCATGGTCGGGATCGAATCCACGACCTCCTGTGTACCCGGCGAGGTAGTTGACATCTCCTAGCCACCGGCGGGGAACTTGGTGGCGTGCTGAGCCGCGAGAATAAGAGAAGTGTTGTGATGGGGAATACAGCTGAGTCGCCACATTGCTGAGGTTAGTTGGTGGGAGGATTGGCCGTCCAAAAACAACGCAAAACGTACGTGTACAGTAGGCGGTGAAAGTGTACTTATTGCGACCTTAAATCGAGTGGGCGGTGAGGAGTAGGAAGCGTGTGTCGCCTACTGATCTGGCTTAAAAGTAGCCCGTTGACTAGCCGAGACGTGGGCACTGAGTCGCTGCACCTGGACGAGCGAGCCGGAGCGAAAGTGCGAACGGACCCGTTCACCGTCCAGGCGCGTTCACCGTTCACCAGCGCTGCAGCAAGCGCAACGCGGACGACGCGCGGAGCGGGGTCGCCATTCGGTCCAAGGGTCGATCCTTCGTGCCTTTGTCTTTCTCTGTCACCGCGGACGACGCGCGGAGCGGGGTCGCCATTCGGTCCAAGTGTCGATCCTTCGTGCCTTTGTCTTTCTCTGTCACCGCGGACGACGCGTGGAGCGGGGTCGCCATTCGGTCCCTGGGTCGATCCTTCGTGCCTTTGTCTTTCTCTGTCACTGCGGACGACGCGCGGAGCGGGGTCGCCATTCGGTCCCTGGGTCGATCCTTCGTGCCTTTGTCTTTCTCTGTCACCGCGGACGACGCGCGGAGCGGGGTCGCCATTCGGTCCCTGGGTCGATCCTTCGTGCCTTTGTCTTTCTCTGTCACTGCGGACGACGCGCGGAGCGGGGTCGCCATTCGGTCCAAGGGTCGATCCTTCGTGCCTTTGTCTTTCTCTGTCACCGCGTTTGCGTTGCGTTATTCTTCCGGCTCTCTCGTACAGTTAAGCGCGCTCTATGACCCAGCACGTAACATTTGGCAATACAGGGACTCTTACTTATGAACATTTGACATATGAACTTTCAGAGATACTTTTAGAACCTGTCCGTATGTCCAGTTGCCTGTTCGGACCGAGAGTCGTAAGTTAAACCGCCGCGCAGTGGATATGGCGGTGGTGGCATCTACGTCTGCAGAACATGAAGAACCGGTGGCATCTACATCTACAGGAGGTTGTACAATTGTTAAAGCCGTTAGTGTACACGCCGCGCAACATGTTTGGAATCTACAGGAGTAAAGTTGGACTTACGAACAAATTGACTTACGAAGAGAACCTCTGGAACCTAACTCGTTCATAAGCGGAGGGTGCCCCCGTACGTGTATTGCGTAAAAATAGTAAATCCATCGGCACACGCGCGGCGACCTCTTTCCAGGGCGGAAACGGAATCGACCCGACCGTTCTTGACGCCTCCCTCTCTCTCCCACCCCCTGCACCCCGTGAAGGCTCGCGTCACACCCTGCTGGCGCTGGACCAGCTGCTGGGCGCCGTCGCCACGGCGGACGTCTACAACGTCGCCGTCGACCGCATCCAGCACGGCGCGCTCCAGTTCGCGTTTTACGAGCGCCTGGCGGCGGCGCTGCTGGCGCGCCCGAGCCCGGCGCTGCCCGCGTGGCACCGCTGCCTGCGCTCGCTGCTGGGCCTCAACCACCTCATTTTGGAGCCCCACCTGCAGGTGCCGCCGCCGCCGCCGCTCGGAGTAAAACGATAAATCGGCAGTTTCCGTGATCGCCGCGCCAAAGTTGCATCGTGCACCCTCCGAATGCGGAGGTGGGGGGAGGGGGTTAACGGGTGACTCGCGGGCCCGGCGCGTGAATCCGCGGCTCTGACCGCCCGTCTCCTCCCGTCCCCAAGGCGTTGGTGTCCGTCGCGTGGCTCGGGCCCGAGCCGCCAGAGCCGCGTGGACGCAAGGCCCGCGACGCCCTGCTGTGCACGCTGCTCGCCACCTACGCCAAGCTGCGCCAGCTCGCCAAGCCGCTGGGGGCCGCCTTCTCCTCGCTGTGCCGCGACGGCGGCGGCGGCGGCGACGGGAGCCCGCGCGGCTCCCCGTCGCGCCTGGTCGGCGCCGCTCTGGGGGACAAGCTGTCGGAGTGCCTCGCCGAGCTCCCCGCGGGGCAGGCGGCCGACGTGTGGGAACTGGCGCTGGAGGCCGTCGGCTCCAGGCTGCCGCCCCCCGGCGCGCCGGCGCGGGGGGGGCCCCCGCTGGGCCCGGCCGCTGCCTTCGGTGGCGCTGCTCCTCCACGCCGTGCTCTTCCGGGCGCGCTCGCCGGACGCCGCGTGGCCGGCGCCGGCGGTGGCGCGGGCGACGCGGCTCATGGAGGCGACGCTGCGCGAGGCGCTCGCTCCGCTGCTCCTGCTGTGCCACGCGGAGGGCGGCGCCGGGGGGGAGACGGCGCCCGCCCTCGAGGCCGCCCTGACGCTGGCGCACACGTGGGCCGAGCTCGACCTCTGCTTCCAACTCAACTGCCCCCGGTACCGGTCGCCCGGCAGGGACGCCGGCGCCGCCGGCGGTGCCGTCGCGGGGGGCGGCGCCGAAACCACGGACGACGCCGGCGGAGACGACGGCGGTTTTGCCGCCAACGCGTCGGTGGGCACGTACGACTTCCGCTGCCTGGCGCCCGCCGTGCCGGCGCGGGTTTGGCGTGGGCTCACCAGGCCTCTGCGACGAAGCGGCGGCGGCGGCGGCGCGAGCAGCCGTGCACGGTTCCTGCTGGCGACGCTGAGCGTGCAGAAGGTGCGCGTGCTGTCGCTGCGGCGCGCCGACACCGGTTCTCGCGGCTACGTCCGCAGCCTGCGGCGCGCGGCCCATCTCGCCGTGCGGCTGACGCCGTGGGCGGACGGCGCGCGGCAGGCGCCGTGGGACGGGGAGACGGCCTCGGTGGACGAGGCGTCGCGCGCCGCCGCGCACTGGCACCTCGTGCTCGGCCACCTCCCGCTGCTGCTGCCCCACCTGGCGCCCGGCGACGTGCAGGCCGTCGCCGACGCCGTCACGGACGCCGCGCTCGCCTCGCCGGAAGATGAGGGAGCGGGCGATGCCGGGGGGGCGACGCCGCGGGCGCTGGCGTGGGCCCTGCTCCGCGGGCCGCTGCTGCCCGAGCTGGGCGCCGTGCAGGCCGCCGTGGTGACCGCGCTCGTGGCCCGAGCGGCCGAGGCCCTGGGCGCCGGCGACGACGCCGGGCGCGAGGGGGCGCCGCCGTCGTCGCTGCTGCCGGCCCTCGCACGCCGGGACCTGCCCTGGGCCGCGGAGGCGAGCGCGGCCGCGCGGAAGGCGGCCTACGTGAGGCCTCGCCGGGACGACGGAGAGGACGACGACGCGGAGGACGCGCCGCCGGCGCGCGCCGTCACCTGGGCGCTGCTGGACGAGGTGGCGCGGGGCATGTTGGGCGGGGCGGCCGCCGGCGCGGCGCCGCCCCGGCTCCCGCCGGCTGGCCTGGCCGCGCTGGGGCGCGTGCTCGACGTGCTGGCGGCGCAGCGCCTGGACGCGGCGCCGCCGGGGACCGCCGCGCGCTGCTTCCTCGCGCTCTTCGCCGTCGTCTCGAGCTTGGCGCCCGCGGACGAGGCCTCGCTGCGCCTGCTCACCCGCTGCTGCCGCCTGCTGGCGGCGCTGCAGCGCGGGAGAGCGGGCGCGGCGGGGGCGCCCCGCGCCGCGAGTCCTGCCGAGACGCTGGAGGCGCTCGCGCGGCCGCTGCTGCGCGCTGGCGCGTGCGCCGCCTCCTGCGGAGCGGCGGCCGAGGCGGAGCACCGGCGCGCCGTGCGGGGGCTGTTCCGCGCCGCGCTGCTCGCCGTCGCCGCCCGGCCCCGCGGCCGCCGCGGCGGCCCGCTCGCCGTGCGGGCGTTCGCCGAGTTCCTGCTGGCGCAGGCCGACGGCGCCGGCCTGCGCCGCGCCGCGCCGGCGAGCGGCGAGCGGCGCCGGCGCCGCTCGCCGCCGGCGCCGTCCTCCGCGCTGCTGGAGATGGCGACGGCGTTCTGCCAGGCGGCGCTGGCCGATTCGGCGGCGGCGAGGCGCCGCTCGTACGCCGAGGAGCCGCGCCGGCCGCTCGACGCCGTGGCGGCCGCCGCGGCCGTCGTGGCGCGGCGCCTCCTCGACGCCGACGACTCCGCCGGCGTCGACGCCGCCGACGAGAAGCTGGAGCTGCTCGTGGTCCCGGCCGCCGTGCTGCTGGAGGCCGAGCTGCTGGCGCCGGGCGGCGCCGCGACGGAGGGGCTGCGGCACGGCGCGGTGTACGCGCGCGTGTCCGAGCGCGTCGTGCGCCGCCTCCGCTCGTACGAGGGCGGCGAGGACGCCCGGCGCCGCGTCGCCTCCCACGCCGGGTTCCTGCGGCTGCTGCTGCGGGGGGCTGCCGGGGAGCGGGGGGGGGGAGCGGCGGAGACGATGGCGCCGGCGCTCTTCTCGGCGCTCGCTGACCTGCTGGCCGGTGAGGCGCCGGTGCGGGGAGGGGTCGGGCCTGGACGGTTCGCGGCCCCATCCTCAAGTCGACTGTTGGATTACGGTTTCCTTCCCCGGTGCCCTGTCCGTCGTGGGGTTTGTTTGGCCGTGCCGCGCGGGTGGATTGGTGGAGGGGAGAGAGTCGGGGTGAGTGGGGGGGGGCGGTGGCACGGCTGTGGTCACCGCAGGGGTCACCGCGGGGTCACTGCGGGGTCACCGCGGGGTCACCGCGGGGTCACCGCGGGGTCGCGCTTCACTCTCCGCCGATGTTGGGTGAATCGGTGACTTGTGTTTTAGTTTTACATCCCGTGCCCGTTTGTATCGAACAGTTTTGTTCACCGTCATAGTGCGATGAATGTTATAGTTGCATAAACATTATTGAAATGAACCTACAATGCAATGTGAGCTAAACCACTGATAATTGCTTTTAATCTGGGAAGTCGATGCATTGTTACTCGCCTAATATAGTTTTCCACCCGTCTGTGTGTCCGCCCCGCGCCCCCCCCCCCCCCCCCCTGCCCATGCCCCCCCTCGCCGTGGCCCCCTCCCCCCCCCACGGACTGTGCCAGCCCCCGGCGTGACGCGGGAGGAGTTCTCGGCGCTGCGGCCCCAGCTGTCGGCGCTGGGCGCTCCGCTGGCGGCGGCGTGCGGTGCAGAGCGGCTCCGGGCGCTCCTGCTCGAGCTCCTCGGCGCGCTCTCCGCTCAGCGGCTGCAGGGCGCCCGCACGCGGGTAGGGGCGCACGCACGCACGTGGCCAACCGTGCTAATCGGAGGTGCGGGACGACAAACTAAAACACAAAAAGCGGCTCTTAAGAAATGGGTTTGTCGGGCCTCTTGCCTCCCGCCGCCGTCCCCGTGCAGGAGGCCGTCTCCGCGCTGCGTCTCTGCCAGCTGCTCGCGCTCGCCGACCTCGAGGGGGGGCCCTGCGACGCCTTCTGGGGGGCCGCCCCCCGCTTCCTCTCCGCCATCGTGGTGAGCACCGCGCACCCCGGTAGCGACGCCTTGAGTCGATCGGCCGCTCACGTGTGGCGGGCCCGAGCTTGGGTAGCCACCCACGTCTTCAGAGACGTCTGGTGGCCAGCGTGGAAGAGTAGGCCACTTTACCCTTCAGAGTTCCCTCGAAATATCAGGGCTTCGCTCATTTACCTTTTTAGCTGAGACACGAGGGACAATGTACGGGGGGTCCCCGATATACGTCAGGGTTAGGGACCGGAACGACGCCCAGCGGGGAATATTCCCCCATAAGAATAATGGGAAATGGTGGGTGGAGGGGGGTAGAGGCACCTCAAGGGCGTAAACGTCGCCAGCAGCGGCGGCGCGGCGCGCTGCCGGCGGTTTCAGGGGCTGCGCCTTCACTGCCTCCTCCCGGCAGACGGTGACGCGGGAGGCTCCGCGCTGGCTGGCGGGCGACGCCCACGCTCCGGTGCTCGCCGCGCTCGACTGCGCCGCGACGCTGCTCGCGCGCGGGGGCAACTGGGACGTCGCGGCGACGACGACGGTGACGACGACGGTGATGACGACGGTGATGACGACGGCGGAGGAGGAGGAGGAGGAGGAGACGCCGACCGAGAGCGGCCTCCCCCCGCGGCCCGTGGGCCCCCACGGGCCGGCCGCCCTGGCCATGCAGGCCGTGCTGGCGGCGCCGCTGGAGCGGCTGTCGCCCGCGCGCCACCACGAGATGTTCCACGCCTGCCACGAGCTGCTCTTCGCCATCATGCAGATGCACCCGCAGGTGAGAGCGCTGACGGTGGTGGTGGTGGTGGTGATGATAGCGGTGGTGGTTGGTGGTGGTAGTGGTGATCGTGGTGACAGTGATCGTTATTTTGGTAGTGCTTATGATGGTGGTGGTAGTGGCAGTGGTGGGGATGGTTATGGTGGTAGTGGTTATGGTGGTATTGGTTATGGTGGTATTGGTTATGGTGGTGGTTATGATGGTGGTGATTATGATGGTGGTGGTTATGATGGTGGTGGTTATGATGGTGGTGGTAGTCGTTATGGTGGTAGTGGTGGGGATGGTGGCGGTGGGGATGGTTATGGTGTTAGTGGTTATGGTGGTAGTGGTTATGGTGGTGGTTATGATGGTGGTGGTAATGATTTTGGTGGTTATGGTGGTGGTGGTTATGGTGGTGGATATGATGGTGGTGGTTATGGTGGTGGTGGTTATGGTGGTGGTGGTTATGGTGGTGGTTATGGTGGTGGTTATGATGGTGGTGGTTATGGTGGTGGTGGTTATGGTGGTGGTGGTTATGGTGGTGGTGGTTATGGTGGTGGTGGTTATCATGGTGGTGGTTATGGTGGTGGTGGTTATGATGGTGGTGGTTATGGTGATGGCGGTGGTTATGGTGGTGGTGGTTATGGTGGTGGTGGTTATGGTGGTGGTGGTTATGGTGGTGGTGGTTGTGGTTATGGTGGTGGTTATGATGGTGGTGGTGGTTATGGTGGTGGTGGTGGTTATGGTGGTGGTGGTGGTTATGGTGGTGGTGGTTATGATGGTGGTGGTGGTTATGGTGGTGGTGGTTATGGTGGTGGTGGTTATGGTGGTGGTGGTTATGGTGGTGGTGGTGGTGGTTATGGTGGTGGTGGTTATGATGGTGGTGGTAATGATTTTGGTGGTAATGATTTTGGTGGTTATGGTGGTGGTGGTTATGGTGGTGGTGGTTATGGTGGTGGTGGTGGTTATGGTGGTGGTGGTTATGGTGGTGGTGGTTATGGTGGTTATGGTGGTGGTGGTTATGTTGGTGGTGATGGTTGCAACGCGCAAGACTCGTCACCTCGCATACACGGCCCCTGTGCCCCTATCGTAAAACACAATCCAGATGTATAAAGAAATGGAGAGGCTATTAAGGGGGAGGTGACACCGCACGCATGCCGCACTAAACTCGTCGTAGTGTTGTGTATATAGACGATAGACAGCAGTCGCCCAACCTGTCATGTGTGTATTGCCCGTTAAACAAAAAACCCCCTCCCTACTCCGACGCTCCCGTGCTCGTCAGGTGATGCTGAGAGCAGTGCCCGCCTTCCTGGGCTGCTTCCACAAACTCCTGCGCTCCGCCATGCACGAGGGACGGCTCCGGGGAGACGGCGACAAGGGTAACCACGCCGCTGCGTCCGACCCTCGGCGGGGGGGGGGTGGGCGGTGTCGTGGATATCCTCGCCAACAACGCGGTGACGCTTTTCAGCCACCGCTGTTGACCCATGTCGTGGGGGGGCGTCTCTTTACTTTTTCATCTTCTTTCGGACACCACCGCCATAATTGCCAAACAATGATTTTTTTAAGGTTGATTTTTTTTGTCACACTGATTATTCACAAGTGCCCCGATTGAAAATGGTTATTAGGGGATGCTCATGCACCTTTGTACCATGATGAAAAGCTGCCCCGGTTTTCACGTTGGTGCAGGTCTATAGAAAAGCATGTAAATAAGTCTCTAAAATCTCGTAAGTTCAATGGAACATTACTGAGAGGGACGAAAATAGGAGGCGTACTTTAGTGTCATGCCTTGTGTAACACTCCCATGCACTCTGTGAGGCCCTGTGGGTTTCGAAGCCCGGTGAGACTCGAGGCCTTGTGAGACTCAAGGCCTGGTGAGACTCGAGGCCTTGTGAGAGTCGAGGCCCTGTGGGTTTCGAGGCCCTGTGGGTTTCGAGGCCCTGTGAGTGTCGAAGCCCTGTGGGTTTTGAGGCCCTGTGACGGTAGAAGTCCTATGGGTTTCGAGGCCCTGTGAGAGTGAAAGCCCTGTGGGTTTCGAGGCCCTGTGGATTTTGAGGCTCTGAGTTTTGAGGCCCTTTTAGATTGATGGCCCAGTGGGTTTTGAGGCCCCTGTGGGTTTGGACGCCTTCCGTGTCCGTCCGGCAGGCACGGGTGGCGGCGAAGCGGCTGAGCTGGCGGTGAGCTGCGCCCAAACGGCCGAGCGCTTGTACGTGCAGGTCGCAGCACGCGTCCAGGAGTTCCCGGCTCTGGCGGGGTTCATGGCAGCGCAGTTTGTGCAGGAGCTGCAGAAGGTGAGCGAGACCTTATCCAGGTCGTTATGCTTCTGGATAAAAAAATAAAAATAATTGATTGATTTGCCCATGCCACGCAGGCGAGTAATTCTCAGCTTGCTGTTGCTATGTCTGATGCCTCCTTCTACTGCTGCATCTACTCATACTTCATCTGCTGCGTCTACTCCTATGTCTACTACTGCTGCATCGGCTCCCGCATCTACTGCTGCCACATCTACTCCCGCTGCATCCACTCCCTTTACTACTGCTGCATCCACTCCCTTTACTACTGCTGCATCCACTCCCTTACTACTGCTGCATCCACTCCCTTACTACTGCTGCATCCACTCCCTTTACTACTGCTGCATCGGCTCCCGCATCTACTGCTGCATCGGCTCCCGCATTTACTGCTGCCACATCTACTCCTGCTGCATCCACTCCCTTTACTACTGCTGTATCCACTCCCTTACTACTGCTGCATCCACTCCCTTTACTACTGCTGCATCCACTCGCTTACTACTGCTGCATCCACTCCCTTACTACTGCTGCATCCACTCCCTTACTACTGCTGCATCCACTCCCTTTACTACTGCTGCATCCACTCCCTTACTACTGCTGCATCCACTCCCTTTACTACTGCTGCATCCACTCCCTTACTACTGCTGCATCCACTCCCTTACTACTGCTGCATCCACTCCCTTACTACTGCTGCATCCACTCCCTTACTACTGCTGCATCCACTCCCTTGCTACTGCTGCATCGGCTCCCGCATCTACTGCTGCATCCACTCCCTTTACTACTGCTGCATCCACTCCCTTACTACTGCTGCATCCACTCCCTTTACTACTGCTGCGTCCACTCCCTTACTACTGCTGCATCCACTCCCTTACTACTGCTGCATCCACTCCCTTTACTACTGCTGCATCCACTCCCTTATTACTGCTGCATCCACTCCCTTTACTACTGCTGCATCCACTCCCTTACTACTGCTGCATCCACTCCCTTTACTACTGCTGCGTCTACTCCTATGTCTACTACTGCTGCATCGGCTCCCGCATCTACTGCTGCCACATCTACTCCTGCTGCATCCACTCCCTTTACTACTGCTGCATCCACTCCCTTACTACTGCTGCATCCACTCCCTTTACTACTGCTGCATCCACTCCCTTTACTACTGCTGCATCCACTCCCTTACTACTGCTGCATCCACTCCCTTACTACTGCTGCATCCACTCCCTTACTACTGCTGCATCCACTCCCTTACTACTGCTGCATCCACTCCCTTGCTACTGCTGCATCGGCTCCCGCATCTACTGCTGCATCCACTCCCTTTACTACTGCTGCATCCACTCCCTTACTACTGCTGCATCCACTCCCTTTACTACTGCTGCGTCCACTCCCTTACTACTGCTGCATCCACTCCCTTACTACTGCTGCATCCACTCCCTTTACTACTGCTGCATCCACTCCCTTATTACTGCTGCATCCACTCCCTTTACTACTGCTGCATCCACTCCCTTACTACTGCTGCATCCACTCCCTTTACTACTGCTGCGTCTACTCCTATGTCTACTACTGCTGCATCGGCTCCCGCATCTACTGCTGCCACATCTACTCCTGCTGCATCCACTCCCTTTACTACTGCTGCATCCACTCCCTTACTACTGCTGCATCCACTCCCTTTACTACTGCTGCATCCACTCCCTTTACTACTGCTGCATCCACTCCCTTTACTACTGCTGCATCCACTCCCTTACTACTGCTGCATCCACTCCCTTTACTACTGCTGCATCGGCTCCCGCCGCGTCTACCTCCGCTGCATTTGCTGCCGCCGCCGCCGCTGCTGCTGCTGCTGCTCCATCTCCTCCTGCCGCTGCTGCCGCTGCTGCTCCATCTAATGCCTTCTCCTCCTGCCACCGCAGGTGAGCCTGCGCGCGGATGTGCGGCGCCCGCTGGCGGAGGGCGCCTACGCCGTGCTGGACCTGTGCCGTGAGCAGGACGCGCGCGTGGTGGCGGCCACGCTGCCCTCGCACGGCCTGCGCGAGCTCTTCCGCCAGCTGCAGGCCGACCACCACAAGCACCACAAGTACCTGTCGCCGCGGGCCCTTGCCCTCGAGCCCGACGAAGAATGAGCGGGGCCGAGAGGCCGAGGAGAGGGAGAGGCGAGCTGGCGAACGCGTGTCCGGCCGCTGCGCACCGCTTTGTACGTTGCGCGTGCGTGTGCTTGGCCAGCCGTGCTAATCGGAGGTGCGGGAACGTGTCCGGCCGTTCCGAGGTGCGACAGTGCGAATACAACGCGCGCGTGCACGCCACACTTTGTACACCGTATGTAGCCAAGCGTGCTAATCGGAGGTGCGGGGAAGGGACGACAAACTAAACACAAAAGTCAAAGTGTAAAAGTGTGCAAAGCGTTGCACCGTGGCGGCTCCCACGGTGGCTTGAGAGAAACATCCGCTCGTCTTGCCGACCCGCCCCCCCCCCCCCGCAGCCTTGTGAGAACAAAACACAACAACGCCGAGGCGTGGATCGACCTGGTAACTCTGTGGAGATTTAACTTTGTGAACGTGGGGGGAAATTATTATTATTATTTTTTTAAACGTGGCCACATCTCGAGCAGGGCCAACGGCCCGCGGGGTCGTCGCACCACGCTGGGGGCCTTCCCGAGCCACCGAGCCGCAACCAAAACCGCGACACGGTGGCCCCACCACACATTTAAATTTCGTTCTGGTGGGCGGGGGGGGGAGGGGGTCAAGCAGGGCGAGGGGCGTGGTGGCTAGGGACGCGCACATCGCCTGTGCGGCGGAAGAGCGACGGTGTCGCCCGGCTCGCGAGAGCGTAAGAGGGAGGCGGACTGTGCCACGCTACGGAGAGTCGAGGAGGAGGAGGAACGTTTGTGTGTCGCGCCGGTTGAGTGGCGTGTGTGTGTGTGTTCGGTGCGTTGGAGGGTTCAAATAATAAACGTCTCGATTCCGCGATCGTGCCGAAGTCGTGCCATCGTTGGTGCCCCCCCCCCCTCATGCGACGATGACGTTGATGACGACGACGACGTTGACGACGTTGATGACGATGACGACGACGTTGACGACGATGACGTTGATGACGTTGACGACGTTGACGACGTTGATGACGTTGACGACGTTGATGACGACGTTGACGACGTTGATGACGTTGATGACGTTGACGACGTTGACGACGTTGACGACGACGATGACGACGACGTTGACGACGTTGACGACGTTGATGACGTTGACGACGTTGACGACGTTGATGACGTTGACGACGTTGACGACGACGTCGACGACGTTGATGACGTTGATGACGTTGACGACGTTGACGTTGTTGACGTTGACGACGTTGACGTTGATGACGTTGATGACGTTGACGACGTTGATGACGTTGACGACGTTGACGACGTTGACGACGTTGATGACGATGACGACGACGTTGACGACGATGATGTTGATGACGTTGACGACGTTGACGACGTTGATGACGTTGACGACGTTGATGACAACGTTGACGACGTTGATGACGTTGATGACGTTGATGACGATGACGACGTTGACGACGTTGACGACATTGACGACGTTGATGACGATGACGACGACGTTGACGACGTTGATGACGTTGATGACGTTGACGACGTTGACGACGACGTTGACGACGTTGATGACGTTGATGACGTTGACGACATTGACGTTGTTGACGTTGACGACGTTGACGTTGATGACGTTGACGACGTTGATGACGTTGACGACGTTGATGACGTTGACGACGTTGTTGACGTTGACGACGATGACGACGACGTTGACGACGATGACGTTGATGACGTTGACGACGTTGACGACGTTGATGACGTTGACGACGTTGATGACGACATTGACGACGTTGATGACGACGACGTTGACGACGTTGACGACGTTGACGACGTTGATGACAATGACGACGACGTTGACGACGTTGATGACGTTGATGACGTTGATGACGTTGACGACGTTGACGACGTTGACGACGACGTTGACGACGTTGATGACGTTGATGACGTTGACGACGTTGTTGACGTTGATTTCAAACCAAGGCTGCTGCATCTGCTGCTGCTTTCGCAGAATGAACACTCAACACAAACTTGCATTACTTTCCAGAATATTAAGCTATCTACAGTGTACAGTACGAAGTGCCGGATGAAGCTATGCGGGGCATGTAGCCAAAGGGGGCCCTTAATAAAAACATAACAAATGTTTTACTTGCATAGTAAAGTAATTGTATTTTTTCATTCGCTAAGCAACCAGATAATATGACAAGTCGCGAAACTTAAACACCCAGTCATTCATAAAAGTTGAAGGCAGTATAGTACTATAGTAATAGAGCAAGTGCAGCATCACTGAACCAGAATTGATAGCTTCAAAGCATTTAGGGTGGGGCCCGTGTAAGTGCGGGGCCCGTAGCATTTGTAGCAACTTTTGCTACCAGGATAATCTGGCACTGACAGTACATCTGTCAACGGTACATGAAGAGTGATCCAGGTTTCTATGCCCATTGGGACATTTCCTATTGCTCGGCTTTTTTTGGCATGAAAAACAACCCAAGGTCGGCAACGACGTACTAAATCACAACCAAAACACCCACGTACCGTTATAAAAACCAAAACGTGTGTGCGTGTTGAGCTTCTTTCACACCGTACGTACGTAGCCAACCGCGTTAATCAGTGTGTTGGGGGGGGGGAGGATGACAAGCTAAACATCGATGTCATCAAATGTCTCAACAATGTGTACTAGCCCATCGCGAGTCCCAGCTTGGTTCACCGACGTGATCTCGGCCTGCCCGGCCACCTGGCCCGCACCTCGCTACAATCGCCGACGAGACGGCTATCGCCGAGACGAGCGCGATATGTAGAACCCCCTTCAGTCGTCCGTACGGATCGCACAACGGCGGCCTGCGATTTGAGAGGGTCAGGCCCTCGAAGGCTGCGAGAAAGTCATCCGGTGGGAGGGAGAGGAGGGAAGGAGAGAGGGAGGGGACGTGAATTCCAGAGTTGGGAGGACACGGCACATCGATTTGGGTGGCAGGGTGCAGCGAAGCAAGGACGCAGGGTTCGCTTGACGCAAGTTGGTCACCAGATAGGTGTAGTGACTGACTCGGAGACACTAAGAGTAGGAGGCACTCTGTTTATTAACATCCATAACAGTTCACACTTAGTAACTACAGCTCCCAGTCAGGACAGCTGGCAGACTGCCTGACTGACGACGCCGAGATGAAGTCGGGGTCCAGCAGCACGACGTGGATCCCTCCAAACGACAGCCCCGAGCTCCCACTCAGGGAGGCCCCTTTATGCTCCTATCGTGGCCTCGCTCCGCCCCGGCCACGCCCCCTCTCTAGAACCTGCCAGCGGGTTGCCAGGCTTCCCTCACGTGCCCCTTCTGTAACTTTTCCCCTACATCCCTCCCTCTGGCATATCACGTGAGTACTGCGTAGTGGGAAGTCAACAGTGGTTGTATGAAGAGACTGGCCTCTGCCATGGACATGTGGAATTTCCAGCACTGAGCTATCAAAGGGGATGAGCAGAGCCCTAGTTTTTGGTTCGGGCAGGCACGTGATGCCCAGCGTTGCGTTTATTTAAATAAACTTAAAGTTTTAAAATGCGGATTATAAGAACTAAACCAAAACAATACTTATGATTACCAAGTAAGGCCCACTGAGCTATATAGCTCTTTTTCAGAAGCGACCTGACTATCGCAAATGATAACTCGACGAAGTGGCTCATCGTTGCGTGGAAATTTATAGCAACAGCCAAAGACTCTAAACGCGTGATGTTGATTCTAAATGTGGAGGGGAAACCCGGATGACCCGGAGAAAAATCCACGCGACCACGGCGGGGGAGAGAGAGAGAGAGACGCAAACTCCAAATATACAGCGGTAGGCGTCGGGGTCGGGATCTAACCCACGACCCTCCTGTATACCGGGCGAGGTAGTTAACATCTCCTAGCCACCGTGGTGATGATGAGAGAGAGAGATACGCAAACTCCAAATATACAGCAGCAGGCGTCGGAGTCAGGATCTAACCCACGACCCTCCTGTATACCGGGCGAGGTAGTTAACATCTCCTAGCCACCATGATGATAATGAGAGAGAGAGAGATACGCAAACTCCAAATATACAGCAGCAGGCGTCGGAGTCAGGATCTAACCCACGACCCTCCTGTATACCAGGCGAGGTCGTTAACATCTCCTAGCCACAGCGGCGTATATATAAATGCCCGTATGTGGACTCAGTCGTCATTGCGTCTGTGCGCAGTCATTCCCAATAAAAAAAAAACCTCGAACACATTCGCCAATAAGTCGCATTAAAAGTAAAAAAAAGATATGCAGTTATAGGCGACGTTTCAGTCAATGGCCCTTTTTCGCAGCACACTAAGAAAGACCGTTGCCAAAATATTCACCAATAATATTTGGTTCATTTTAAGGTCACCGTGTTCTTGAAGAGCGTGTTGGGGACGTTCGTTCTCTAAATTGCGCTTTGTGCATCACTGGCCTCGACGCAGCTGCAAGAAGCGACATCACCAAATATTGTGTAATTCCCAATAGATCAATTAAAAAAAAACATTGAGGCAATTAAAAAAAAGAGACGCTAGACTTGATAGTCATACGGCATCATAGAGGCAAGCACGCGCACACACACACACAATGGGAGTTCTTTCAGACTTGATTAGTGTGACGTGACTAAATAAATACATGTGGAATAGTTTGTTTGATTACGGCCACGCGGCTTGGCGATGCTTTGTCACCAACCCCAGTATTAAACGGGACTGGCTTGTGAGTGAGTCACCGCTTCCTGTGCATGTTGAGCTTGGAGCGTTCTCTTGTAACGCTCTTGCTTCCCCACCTGTGTTCAGTCACGTAAATCAACACCGCCCCCTCCACCCCTCTCTGTGTCTCTCTCGTTGCGAATAAATTGACGGGAAGATGGAGCGAGGTCGGTGCAAGCCGCTGCCTGACGCTGTTCATGACAAGGGCGGTGAGCCGGAATGAGCCGCGAGGGAGCGAGCGAGGAGTTTGTTTCGTTTCATTGCACGAGTCCCGCGCGGTTTGGATGATCAGGAGGCGAGGCGACTGCGTGTCTAGCGTGGCCGCTGAAGCCGTGTTTTTGTTTGATTGTTTGCTTTGGAATCGCTGCCGCAGTTGCTCGTCGGGTTAAGGTTGAGCAACAGTGCCCTGGTCGTGTATTTTATGCGCCGGTAAATGGTGTGACTTGGATTGCACTGACAGCGGCAACGCTTTTACGTTCAAATTTCCAAACCCACGAAGCCGACGCTTTGGGGCCGTCCATAAATGACGTCACGCACCTGGGGGGGGGGTGGTCAGATATTTGTGACGATGTGTGACGAAGGGGGGGGGGGGGTGAGAAATGTGACGTCACATCAAAATGCGCAACTTTAAATAAATATAGAATTGTTATAACAACACTCCTACATTTCGATTTAAAGCTTTCGTGACTGCAAGGATTCATCTTCTTTGGTTCTTTCGGTAAAGTCACGTAGAATGAGAATAAAATAATAAATTGATCAAATAAAATAACACTAATATTCTCACGACGTTTCGGCCACAACACAAGCGGCCTTCATCAGGTGAAGGGGACGAGACTGTCTGGAGGACAGTCGTGAGAATATTATTGTGTTATTTTATTTATCAATTTATTATTTTATTCTCATTCTACGTGACTTTACCGAAAGAACCAAAGAAGAACACTCCTACAACATCAGAGTGCAGCGCCACATTAAATACGCACTACAATGACAATAGGTTAAAGCGATTTGAAGCATGTTTTATTTTCAAAATGGAAATATGGTTTGGGGAGGGGGGCAGAGCTTTGTGACGTCATATTTGAAGGGGGGGGGTCTGACTTTTTGTGACGCCGTGTGACTAGGGGGGTCAAAAATTGTCCAAAATCGCATGACGTCATTTATGGACGGCCTCTTT